GGCAGGAAGTCTCTTAGGGTCATCAGCAAAGCTCGTCCTTCTGACAAAGGTTTTGTGTGAGTGAACAAGATGGAGCTTGGTAGCTGCAGGGCTCTAAGCATGGCGGTCTGTGCGTGTTCTTGGCCAGCCCTTGTGCCCTGCTTCTTGGTGCCAGTGGCACCAGGGATGCTCTCAGAGCCTAGCCCTTCTGATCCCAGTGCTCTACTGAAGGTGCTGTTGGTTCGGCCTTCCAAAGCACTACCTTTGGGGGAAAATGTGGACCTCTCTGCCAGCTCTCCCTGAGACTTGAAGCCCTAGGCATTTTCTGTTGGCTTTAACCCTCTGACTTGCCTTTCTGCACAGGCCAACAAGACAGCTTCTTTTGCTGAGAGCTTTCTCTGGCCACTGGGTTGCTGAGTCCAGAAAAGTTGGCCCATGAATGCCTCTGGGGTAGCCCTTAACCAATGGGACAGTTTTGAGGCATGCTCTGTGCAGTCTTATTAAAGTCCCAGCACTAGAGCCCCAGTTGTCCCTAAGAGTGACCTGTTCATTAATGTGGCTCTCTCAAAAAAAGTTTTTAATTTTTAAAAATGTTTGTTTAAGTACTCTCTACACCCAATGTGGGGCTCAAACTCACCACGCTGAGACCAAGAGTTGCATGCTTTTCTGACTGAGCCAGCCAGGTGCTCCGAAATGATTTTTTTTTCCTTTTTTAAAAATGTTTTTTTCTTTTATTTTTAAGTAATCTCTACATCCAACATGGGGCTTAAACCCACAACCCTGAGACCAAGAATCACATGCTCCACCAACTGAGCCAACCAGCTACCCCGATGATGTTTTTTTTTTTTTTTTTAAGATTTATTTATTTATTTGAGAGAGGGAGCAGGGGGTGGGGGGGAGGAGCAGAGGGAGAGGGAGAGAGAAACCCAAGCAGACTCCATGCTGAGTGCAGAGACAAGGTGGAGTTCGATCCCACGACCCTGATATCATAACCTGAGCCAAAGCCAAGAGTCAGCCACCTAACCGACTATGCTCCCCAGATGCCCCCGCAATGATACTGTTTTTATTTTTTTTTAAAGATTTTATTTATTTATTTGACAGACAGAGATCACAAGTAGGCAGAGAGGCAGGCAGAGAGAGAGGAGGAAGCGGGCTCTCCGTGGAGCAGAGAGCCTGATGTGGGGCTCAATCCCAGGACCCTGGGATTATGACCCAAGCCGAAGGCAGAGGTTTTAACCCACTGAGCCACCCAGGCGCCTGATACTGTTTTTAAATGTACTATTGAATTCTGTTTGCTTATATTTAAGATTTTAAAAACAATATTTATAAATGAGATTAATTTCTAGCTTTCTTTTTAGGACCCAGTAGTATTTCCTTTCTTGGTGATGGAGGTGGTGAGAGAGCTCTGTTACAACTTCCTCTGTTATTTCCATTGAAAATTAGTCCATTGAGATGGCTTATATCAGGGTGACTTGGGTAAATTATGTTTTCCTAGATAATTTCCCGTAAAATCCTAGTATTTAAGTTTTGACAACTAATTCAAAAACATTTTTAAAAGATTTGTTTACTTTGTAAGTAATCTCTACACTCAATATAGGGCTCGAACTCACCACCCCAAGATCAAGAGTAGCATGCTCTATCAACTGAGCCAGCCAGGTGCCCAACAATTCAAATTTTTAAAAAACCTGTCAACAGATACCAGGTTAGATACGGCCTGTGGACCACAATTCTGTAACCACTGATTATATAGTCAAGGGATTTTAGGCCTGAAAGAGGCCATATAGATCCTATTCTGGGAGTTGTAAGTAAATAACATGCCTGGCAGCTAACATGCTTCTCTGTGGTGAGGATTTTGGTGAATTCTATAATTCACATGGTGAATTCCCCATTCCCCAACTAAAGATAATCAAGTTAAGTTTTAACAATATTTTAACCAGAACACCATGTGGGTCAAATAAAGCAGTCAGCAAATTCAGTTTGGCCCATGTGTGGCTGTTTTGTGGTTTGTGACCTCTGCCTGCACAACTTCACTTCTTGCTGTACCCCCTGGGTATCTCGTATTCCAGCCACATCTCATGCTCTCTGATCAGGCTCTGCCCTTTCTTCACTTATCTTTATAGTTTTATTTTAGTGAGACTTTCTCTTATGGCTGTGGTTTCCATCCCCTCAATCTCATGAACTTATGAGCAGAGACCGTGTCTTCACCTTTCATGCTTTGCATCTAGTTGGAGCTCTATAAATGTTTGTTGCATAACTCTTATAATTAGCAAAACAATAAGGATCTTATCGTGAAATTATTTGGGGCACCAGGGTGCCTCAGTTGGTTAAGTGTCTGACTCTTGATTTCAGCTCAGGTCATTATCTCAGGGTCCTGGGATCGAGCCCCACGTTGGACTTTGTGCTCAGCGGGGAGTCTGCTTAAGATTCTTTCTCTCTGCCTCTGCCCCTTCCCCTGCTCACGCGTTCTCTCAAATAAATAAATAAATAAATCCTTTAAAAAAGAAAGGAAAAGAAAGGAAATTATTTGTGGAATTGACTCTAACTCAGTTTAAAAAGAGGAAAGTGAGGCCCAGTGTGCTTAAGTAATTTACCCAAGATCACATAAGAATAGGGCCGATGCCCTTTCTGACATTCTATTCTACAACAGTTCAATCGTAAGATTAGAAACTAGGACAGAGGGGCATCTGGGTGGCTCAGTCGTTAAGTGTCTGCCTTTGGCTCAGATCATGATCCCAGGGTCCTGGGATGGAGCCCTGCATTGGGCTCCCTGCTCAGCAGAAAGCCTGCTTCTTCCTCTCCCATTCCCCCTGTATGTGTTCTCTCTGTCAAATAAATAAAATCTTTAAAAAAGAAAAGAAAAGAAACTGGGATAGAAATGACACTTCCTTAATTAAAAAAAAATTTATTTAATTATTTGTGGGAGAACGAGCATGAACGGGGGGAGGCGCAGAGGGAGAGGGAAAATTAGACTCTCCATTGAGCAGGGAACCCAACACAGGACTCAATCCCAGGACCCTAGGATCATGACTTGGGCTGAAGGCAGACACTTAACCAAGTCACCCAGGTTCCCAACATTTCCTTAATTTCTAGAACTGACTTTAATGTTTGACTCTGTGTCCCCACCCTGCCTCCTACTAGACAATTTAGATGTCTTCAGGTAAATTGAGGTCCAATTCAGTAATTTTGAGGGGATATAATTTCAGGCTGATTGGTTCATCTTAGGCCAGTTCAGAGTTCTCCAAACTTTCTGCCTCTTTCTCCCTAACACTGATCCAGTTCCTACAGAAATTATACAATCACTGCTGGCAAGAGGGGAGGTGAGAAGTGTCTAATTTCAGTGTCTCATCAAGGTCTTGGCCTTACTTACTGGCATCCTCCAATACCCCTTGTTGGTCTGGGTCCTCTTCATGTCACTTGCATCTCAGGCAGCTCAGAGGACTGATTGGATACCTCCCTGTCTATAGCCACCTCCTGCTATCTTTCTTGCCTTCCCCATCCCCAGTAGTTTGTTTCAGAAAGCCCCTCAACTTTTGTATTTCCTTCCTTAAACCTGGTCTGTGGTAGAGGAGGCAAAAAATCCACACTGCTTCTCTCTTTTTCTCTGAAACTTCCTTACTCTGTTTCTCTCTGAGTTCTTTGCATCTTTTCTTTAAGCAAGGGAGGAAGAAAACCCAATTCTGTCTCTTCTCATCTCTTAAGTGGCCAGTGTCTCACTCTAGGAGTGGTGGCCTTTGAATTTAGTAATTCAGAGCTTGAGTCTTCCCGGCTGTCAGGCTATCTTCACTGTGCTCAGTGTCCTTCCATTTGGCTGTCAGTTGGGAGAAGGTTGGCAGATAAGCCTAGCTGGATAGGAATGGCCAATCAGTCAATACTTGAGGTCATAGTTTTTTTTTAAAGATTCTCATATAGGGGGCGCCTGGATGGCTCAGTGGGTTAAAGCCTCTGCCTTTGGCTCAGGTTATGATCCCAGGATCCTGGAATCAAGCCCTGCATCAGGCTCTCAGGGAACCTGCTTCCCCCACTCTCTGTCTCTGCCTGCCTTTCTGCCTACTTGTAATCTGTCAAATAAATAAATAAAATCTTAAGAAAAAAAAAAGATTCTCATATAAGAGCAAATTCTGATCATTAGCTGCCATCTTTAATCTAGTAAACAGCAGTACTTTAAATCCTATATTCTCTACTTTTGGAAGGACCTCAGGGTCACTGAGTTCTAGTCACTGAGTTCCTTTCAACATTTGGCACCCCATTTAGCTGAGGACTTCTGATTTTCCAAGTGTTCCTGATTGGCTGATTTATCAAGATTTATAGGACAGCGTCATGTACCCACACTGGAGGGTCTCCAAGTTCTAAGCGTTGGAGAGCCTCCTAGGCTGAGGTGTTGAGTGCTCCTGCTCTGAGCCCAGAAACTCCTACTTTAAGATGACCCCACGAGGGGCGCCTGGGTGGCTCAGTGGGTTAAGCCTCTGCCTTCGGCTCAGGTCATGATCTCAGGGTCCTGGGATCAAGTCCTGCACTGGGCTCCCTGCTGAGCAGGGAGCCTGCTTCCCTTCCTCTCTCTCGCTCTGCCTGCCTCTCTGCCTACTTGTGATCTCTGTCAAATAAATGGATAGAATCTTTAAAAAAAAAAAAAAAAGATGACCCCACGACTGGCAATCAGTTAGCTACTTGGAGCCTCATTCTTATGTATGGAGTGGGTGTGAGGACACTTACCTTGTGGTAGTTGTGAGGATTAACTAAGATCATGCCTTTGGGTGCTCAATAAATGTTAGACTCCCAGATTGCAATTCCTTCCCACTGCATTCTCTTCCAGAATCCTCCATTGTGATACAAGGAGATTCTGAGAATGACAGTTTCTCAGAACAAAGCTTCCAGAAGCTGTTGGTGAGGAGTGGAGAGAAACTCCTACCTTGCCACCAAGGGAAGCTATTTGTTTCTAATATAAGTAGATTGTTTGGGAAGGATCTGTGGTCCTACCCTTGAAAGGCAAAGGGGCTAGTTGTGCCATTTGCCAGTCAGGAACCATGAGGAGATATATGGTGTCTTATACGTGGCAGATCTTGAAGAAGGAACTGGTGAGGAGTGTCACGGGTTCTGGGAGGGAAGAGTGGTATTTTGAGGAATGGAGGGGCAGGTGTAAGAGACAGCCTACTCTGTATCTTTTGGAGTCACGGCATGGCACAAAGAATAGAGTCCAAGTTAGGCTTCAGAAAGACTGAATTCTGACCTGTTCTTTGTAGGTGGCTGTCCCCTTGACACTGGCATGTCATAGGCTATACTCTGAGCCCCTAAGAACTCCTCTGTACCCATCCTTCCTGCTGTTATGAGATCCAGAGGGAATAAGGCCTGGCAGAAGGATAGAGTGATAGGTTGAGCCTGCAGATCCTGGAGCCAGCCAGCCTGGGTTCAAATCCCCATCACCTGTTAGTCATATGACTAATATTAGTATGAGGCAAGTTACTTCATTTGCTGTGCCTATTTTCCCTTCTGTAAAGGGCGACAGATGACAGTATTAGTATCTATTGCATTGATTTATTGTTGAGGATGAAATGAGTTGATACATCAAAAGGGCTTAGAATAGTGCCTGGTGGAAAATTGGTATTTAATAAGTATTAATTTTATTAATAAAACCTTTCCCCATAGTTCCTTCAGATACAGATGTTTTTAAAGAAAATGTTACAGGTACTGGTGAAGCTCCTCATCGTCCCATTCCCTTCTTCACTGGGGACCACTTTCCTGAGGTTGATGTGTAGCCTTCCTATCAAGATTTTAAAACTTTATTACATATGTATGTATTTATAAGCAACGTAGTATATAGCACATTTTAAAAAATGATGTCCTAAATGGCATCCTTTTTCAACCTTTTTTCCATTCAAAATTGTGTGAGCTTTACCCACACTGACATGTGGCGCTCTAAGGCTATGTTCAGTCCTGGGACTGTACAGTAATGTGTTGATAGCTGCCCCTACTGATAGACACTTCACTTGTTTTCAGTGTCCATGGGAAATGTCTCCCATTCCCCGAATCCGGCAAGTGTAAAATGGTATCTTGTTGTTGCTTTAATTTACATTTCCATGATCTCTAGTGATGTTCAGAATCTTTTCATTATTTATAGGAGATTTGGATTTTTCCTTTGAATTACCTGTTCTTATCCTTTGCTCATTTTTCCTTTAGGGTTATTTGTATTTTTCCTTTGATTTGTAGAATTTTTAAAATTAAAAAAAGCAGTTTTGGATGGTAGTTTTTCAGTAATACTTATTCTTTGTCATTTTGGATAGGAATCCTTTGTTGATTCTGTACATGGCAAATGTCTTCTTCCAGTCTTTGGTTTGTCTTTTCATTTTCTTTTTGACCTCCTGATTAACAAACGTTAACGAAAGTTTTTAGCTTTTGCATTTGTTTCCTTATGGAGATTTTCAAACACAGAAGTTGAAATATAATGATCACTCCTTAGATCTAACAGTCAGCATTTTGCCATATTGGCTTTACTTATTTGTGTATGTTTGTGCAATCATTTGAGAGTAAGTTCCTTTTTTTTTTTTCAAATATTTTATTTATTTGAGGGAGAGAGAGCATGAGAGCACAAGCAGGGGAGAGGGAGAAGTAGGTTCACTGCCGAGCACAGAGCCTGACGTGGCGCTAAATCCCAGGACCCTGAGATCATGACCTGAGCCGCAGATGCTTAACTGACTGAACCACCCAGGCACCACTAAGTTGCATTTTTTATGACACTTCTTAAAAATAAGGACATAATTACAACATCAATATAATATTAAGAAAACTAACACTAATATCCCTAATATCATCTAATCTCCAGGCATATCCAATTTCCTTATTTGTCCCTAAATAATGGCTTTTACAGCTTGTTATTATGAATCAGGATCCAAAGGTTCATACTTTGCATTTATTTGTATGTCTCTTAAGAAACTGAGTTAGTTGACTTGTAGATTGTTTCACATTCTGGATTTGTCTCTTTGGTGTTGAACTTGTTTCCCTATCCCCTGTATTTACTTGGCAGGCAGAGGGTGACTGCCCTTACTGCCAAATTCATGCTGGGATACAGAGTCTGATTTGTTCTCAGTTCCAAGTCCAAATTCCCAGGCTCAAAGGTTGCCTGGGATCAGAGGGCCCAGCTTGGACGAGTGGTTTTATTCGTTTCCTATTGCTTCTATAACATATCACACAATCTCTTGGCTTAAGACGAATGATATTATCTTATGTAGGCTAGAAGTCTGGCGTGGGTCTCCCTGGGCTAAAGTCCAGGTGTCAGCATCACCGCATTCCTTTCTTGATGGTCTAGGGAAGAATCCCATTTCCTGGACTTCTCTAGCTTCTGGAGACTGCTCACATGCCTTGGTTCATGGCCCCCTTCCTCTTTCTTCAAAGGCAGCAATGCTTGCCGAGCAAAGGCTTGCATCTGCTTGACTTTTCTTCCCTCAGATCCATCTGATTCCAAAATCCAGGCTCTTTCCATCACCCCTTGCTGCCTGCTGTCTCTTGTGCTGTTTCCTGGACTGAAGTGAAGGACTTGTTATTTAACTAGAACTGGGCTGGAGGATGTTTTTCCAACCAGCTCCTGGGGAGGAAGGTTTGTAGTAAAGTTGCCAGTTTCTGCGGCATAAATACTCCCAGCTGTGGACATTTTCAGGCTACCAACATGATTTCAACAGGCTTGAAGACTTCCTGAAAATGTAACCATTGCTCGAGCATACCCCTGCATTTAATCCTATCCCGTTTCACCTTGTCAGCACCATCCAGCCTGTGGGTGGCCGTTGAAAACAGGTGGTTTCTACTGATCTACTTTGTTTTGTTTCCACAGGGGCTGTACCAGCTCACCATGGATATCATTGTGATGATCCGAGTGTGTAAAATGTTCCGCCAGGGCCTCAGGGGATTCCGGGAATATCAGATCATGGAGACTGCTCACAGAAAGCACCCTATCTTTTCCTTCTGGGATGTAAGCAGCTGGCCTTAGCAGGATTGGGAGGGTTTAAGGGGGTCCAATAAATAGCACCTCACTTCCCAGACTGTATACTGAACCAAACAGAGAGAAGACAAGGAGTAAAGCAGGTGGGAGACCCAACTGTCCCTTTTGTCAATGATGAGACTTTATTGGAGAAGGTGATTTGTATCATCAAGTGAGAGGATGACCTAAGACTAAACTCCAGAATTGGATAGCCTTACGTGCCCAGTCATGGGCAGTGCTGGACCATGGCAGACTTCTACTACAGGAGCAGGGCCTCCTGCCCTAAACTCACAGCAGAGGACGGTAGAGCAGAATGTGGGCTCAGAGGGCTGGAGATGGAATGATCTCACCCAGTTTTTCCTTCCAGATTCACCAAGGAGTTTAAGTTACTCCTTCTCAATGTGGAAGGAGAGGGGCTAGTAGTGTTCTAACAGCACAACTCCCTCCATGTGGAAAGAAACACCAGGAGAAGGGAAGAAGCCGTCTTCATTCCAACTGGGATCAAAAGAGCCAGAGAAATCCAGAAGCCTCATTAGAGTCAGGGTTTTCTGAATGCCCACCACTGTTCATCTTCTCTACCTTCCTTCCTGTCCCCTCCACTTAAGCAAAGGAACACATGCAGGGCCCTGCTCACTCTGGAGGCCATGCTTCTAGATTTTCTAGAAGGTTCCCATTTCAAATTAAAAAAGTTATCCCAGTGGTAGATCATACACACTTTTCAGCTCAGAAAAGTTGATCACCATTCTGCTAACTATTCTAGATCCCCAAAGGCATCTTCATTACTATTCAGGGCCCCAAAGTTTCTCCCAATCTCTGGACGAACCCTGCCCATTTTCCTGTTGTGCACAGAGTGACTAGTCCTGCCTCCCAAATGCACCCTGGGATTCACTCCAAGAAATTGTCCCAAATGGTGGTGGTGATGGGTGAAAGAGAGGCCATCTTGAGTTGGTCTCTGAGGGGCCAGCAGGTGTAACTGTGTGTGTGTGGCTGAGTTTAAGGTATAGCAGGGAGTAGGGGCCTGTGGGTCTGCAGAAAAGAGGAGCATGTCCTATCTGAAGACATTCAAATTCATATATTTTAAAGACATTATGCTGGCCAAACCAAATGAATCTACAGCCAGATTCTGCCCTGTGGTTGGACCATCAGTTGGGGAGGGATGGAGTGGAGGAATTGGAACTGGGAGACGGAGGTTCGCTGTCAGGAAGGACATTCTGACTCAGGGCCTCATCATGGAGTTGTAAAGCAATGGGCCGTGGGAGCCAGGAGTTATTGGTTATCAGAAGACGTGGGCTGGTGCCTGAGCACTCAGAAGCTGAAGACCCAGATCAGCCTTGTCATCAGGGGAGCGTGAGGCTGAAACTTAATGACATTGCTTGGGCAGAGTAGACTTGAGCAGAGCAGAAGCCTCTTCAGGGCAGCCTCAGGGGGTCCTGTGGCTGCTGGGCAGAGAGTTAGGGAGCCGTAGTGTGGGATTGGGTCAAGAGAGCCGCAGACCAGTTTTCATTAGAGCTTGTGAATCTGGATCTTTTCGAACACCATTGCTTTCTTTCATGGCCTCCTTGAGATGCATCACACAGGCACATAAGCTATAAATGGGGCTCTGGGATGGGGAGGACCTGAGATATGTCTAGAGAGGTGGTTGGGGGAATCTTGGTTTCCCTCAGGTAGTGGTCAGGGCCTTATTTATGTCCCTTTCCTGCCCCCTGCCTTCTCCTGCATATCTTCCCCCCCACCCTTCTCTGCCTCTTCCCCTACTCTTCCCACATCCCCCCTGCAACTGTTAGGTGATAGAGTTGGATTAGTTCATCCTTAAGATATTTTGCACTTCCTTCTTCTGGCCATACTCTAGGAGAGGACTAACAACTCAGTGTGTGGTCCTTGGGCAGGTTCCTTCACCCACCTCGAGTCCAAAAGCGGGCGCAGTAATACCTGCTCCGTCCTGAGGATGAAATGGAATAAGGAAGGAAGATGAGCATGCCTGGTTCCTGACAGGCGCTAGGGAAGGCTGGCTTCGTCGACGCCTCCATTTTGTCCCTTTGTGTCCCTCTCTACTTTCCCATTAGTTTGCTTCCTTCCCCTCTTCCTTTTCTCTCTCTCCATCCTTCCTATCTTTATCCTCACCCCTCCTCCTCTCTCTCTCTCTCAAGAATGACATGTAAGTGCTGGGCCCGAGTCTGGGGCTGAGTTGGGGCTTTTGAGCAGAGGTCAACATGAGAGGGCCAGCTGGTAGGAGGGTTCCCGTGGCTTCCTGCCTACCACACGGATGGGGAGCGGAGGGTTTCAGTGCAAAATTCTAGGAGTAGTCTTGCTGATTCTATTTCTTCTCCCCCTTCTTCCCTTCTCCCCCCGCAGAAAAGGAGGCAAGGCCGAATCATGTTTGATACTATGGACTTTGTTGCAGAGGAGGTATGCATAACTCTGACCTTGCTGCTGGGAATTTTCTTTCTGCATCAGGCCTGGAAAAGGCACTGGGCTGGGTATCAGGACAGGTGGGTCCAATCTGGATTTCCGCCCAACCCATTGTATCATTCTGAACTAGCCACTTAATTTTCCCATCTATGAAATAGACGATCTCAGTGACCCAAGATTCCAGTCCCGACATTCTGAGGCTATGAGCACCCTTGAACCCATTTGTCACCTTAGAGCTGAGCAGAACCAGCAGGGAGAGCTCCTGTACTTAGACCCGTGGACAAGGAACAAAAGGCAAAGTAGAGGCTGTAAGAGCTCCAGACACAGGAGAAATAATCAGGGTGGTGGGGAGAGTCCTGGCCTGTGTGTGAATTCTGTCTCGGCCTCAAGCCCTCTGAGAGACACTGGGCACACCAACCCCCCCTCCCTACCCCGACTGTCAGATGGCCATTCTGGCAAGGGAATGCTTCATATCTGGGTGAGACTTTGGACTGTGTGACTTGTTTTCTGAATTTCAAGAATTGTTATTTTCCCAGCTTCTCACTAAGTCTTGGATACTAAATTAAAATTTAATTTAAAAATTTTTAAAGATTTTATTTATTTTTGTGAGAGAGATAGAAAGAGAGAGAGAGAGCTAGCACAAACAGGGGCAGGGGGAAGATAGAGGGAGAAGCAGGCTCTCCACTGAGCAGGGAGCCCAATGTGGGACTCATCCCAGGACCCTGGGATCATGACCTGAGCCGAAGGCAGACACTTAACTGACCCAGCTATCCAGGCGCCCCAAAATTTAATTTAAATTTTAAAGGGATCTACCTATTACAGGAAAGATTTGAAGTTCTTACCAACTCTAAGCTTAGATCTGTGTCTAGTTGTGGGGATTCTAGGTGGTGTAACTTCCCTTAAGGAGCTAAGTAGGAGTTAAAGTGAGGAAAGTTACCTGGGAAGTTAAATAACAGAGTTAGTTCTGTGGGAATCCAGAGAAGAGAGTTTCTAAGGGTTGGGGGGTGGTGAGAGAGATTTCCTAAAAGAATTAGGGCCCCTAGTGGGCCTGGAGAATCAGTTTTATTCATAGAAACCAGAGTCATCTGTGTTTTGTCCTAAATGGACCCTGTCATAGAAATCTCAATGGGTTATTGATAGCAAGAGAGGGTTAGGAAGGAAGAAGATTGGATTCAGATCTTAAAAATGGCCAACACAGGGCACCTGTGGCTCAACTGGTTGAACATCTGACTTGATCTTAGCTCAGATCTTCATCTCAGGATTATGAGTTCAAGCCCCATGTTGGGCTCCACATTGGGGATAGAGGCCTACTTAATTTAAAAAAAAACAAAAAAAAAAGATCAATGCTTCCATAGTTCCAGGCTGAGAGCCAGGCCCATTATAAGCCCCTTACATGTATTAGCTCTGCTATTTGTACATTCAGGTTCTGCTGCTCTCAGATAGGGAAACTGAGGCTCAGGGAAATGTGACTTGTCCCAGGACACACAACTAGGAAGGAGCAGGCCAAGTTTCAAACCCAGGTACCTGGCACTAGAGCCTACGCATTATTGTTTTTTTAATTTTTAAAAATTTTAAAGGTTTTATTTATCTATTTGAGAGAGAGAGAGCACCAATGGGGTGAAGGGCAGAGGGAGAAGCAGACTCTCTGCTGGGCAGGAAGCCTGATCTGGGGCTCAGTCCCAGGACCCAAGGATCATGACCTGAGCTGAAGGCAGACGCTTAACCGACTGGGCCACCCAGACATCCAGAACCTGTGTGTTATTAATCACTGAGCAACACTGCCCCTCTGAGGGGACATGCAAGGCTTCAGAACTGTTGTCCAGAATTTCTCATGTCCCACTTCTTTTTTGCTTCTGTGAGAACTACTGTTATGTGAAATTAGCCAGCATTCATTCATTCTTTCCATAAATTTTTATTTTGTTGAGTGCCCATTACATGTGAGATGTTATTCTAGAGTGGGGTAAATAAGATAGATGAAGCCACTATTGTGTTTTTATTGGGGCTTATATTCTAGGACACCTTTGTCCAATAGAACTTTCTGAGATAATGGAAATGTTCGATTGTGTTGTCCAATATAGTAGCCAACAGACCCATGTTGCGCTTTGTGGCTTGTGTGACTGAGGAATTTAAATTTTTTTAAGATTTTATTTATTTATTTGACAAAGAGAGAGAGAGAGTACAAGCAGGGGGAGCTGCAGGCAGAGGGAGAGGGAGAAGCAGGCTCCCTGCAGAATGGGGAGCCCGATGTAGGGCTCGATCCCAGGACCCTGGGATCACGACCTGAGCTGAAGGCAGACACTTAACTAACTGAGCCACCCAGGTGCCCCAGAACTTATTTTTTTAATTTAATTTAATTTAAATTTCAATAGCCACGTGTGGCTAATGGCTACCATATTGGATAGTGCAGTTCTAGAGTGAGTGAGAGAGAGAGAGAGAGAGAGTGTGTGTGTGTGTGTGTGTGTGTGTGTGTGTAGGATGGGGAAATAATAGATAATATGCACATTAACAAAAAGAGGGGTGCCTGGGTGGCTCAGTCAATTAAGCATCTGCCTTTGGCTCAGGTAATGCTCTCAGGGTCCTGGGATGGAGTCCCATGTGGGGCTTCCTGCTCAGTGGGGAGTCTCCTTCTCCCTCTCCATCTGCGCCCCCCCCCTCGTGTGTGTGTGTGCGCGCGCACACACGTGCGCACTCTGTCTCTCAAATAAATAAGTTAATCTTTAAAAAAAGAATAAGGTCATTTCAGAAAGTATGAATTACTTGGGGAAAAGTGATTCAGAAACTACACACTGCTGGGAAGGGAGCCTACTATTTTAGGTCAAATGATCCAGTAGGGACTCCCTGAGGATGTGGTGATATAGGAGCTAAGAACTGAATGAAGAGGAGGAAGCAGCTATATCCATGTGAAAATGCAGGGGAAGAACATTCCAGGCAGAGGAAACAGCCCAAGCAAGGACTGCAGGACAGAAGTGAGCTTAGCACCTGCAAGAGATGGGTAGAATTCTAGACACTGGAGAATGAAGGAGAGAGGCAGGAAGTGAGGCAGTGGGGGGTAGGGAGGAAAGGAGTCAGACCATGTGGGCCCCTAGGCTGGGGTACAGAGTTAAGATTTTATCCTAAGTGAGATGGGCAGCCAGTAGGCGTGTTAATAACTCAGGTACCATTTTCCCAGTAGGTGGGAGTGGGGAGTGAATGGATGGATCTGTCTGCCACTGGTCCATGAGTCTTGCTTCACCAGGACCTGGTTTCTGTAGGTTCTTTTTATTCCTTGGTCTCCTGTAGCATGCCAAGATATCGGCTGAGGCAAGGGAGGTCTCCCCTGACTGCAGTGAATATATCCTGAGGGTCCCCTGGAGCCCAGGGAGCCCTCTATTGTCTTGGGGGTGGTCAGTGAACAGCAAAGGCAGTATGGTCAGGAGTTGGGAATAAGGCTCTTGGCATGTAGCAGATCTAGGCTATCATCCTGCCTGAGTGTCTTCATCTGTCAAATGGGAATCGTAACACTGCTTCACTTCTCAGGCTGGGCAAAGACGCAGTGAGATGGTGTGTGTAAGGTGCGTATCCTGATGCCAGGCACGCAGTAAGCCCTCAGTATGTGTCAGCCACTCTTGTACGGGGAGTGGGAGAGTGTAAGAGCAGGAGTGTGGGGAATTGCCCACTGGCCCCTGGGGGAATCTGCTGGGTCTTGTGTGTCACTCTGGTTCTCTCTCCCCAGGGTCACTTCCCTCCAAAAGCCATGCAGATCACACAGAAGCTGCCTTCCTGGAGGACGGAGCCCGAGATCCAGGCCCTCTGTAACCTCCTGCAGGTCTTGGACAGCTACCGTAACTACTCAGAGCCCCTGCAGCTGCTCCTGGCCAAGGTCATGCGCTTTGAACGGTCAGTGAGGGGCACACCCCTGGGTCCTGGGCTGGGAAGAGCTGCCTGACGAGGCCATGGCCAGTCTGCTTGTGTCTCTGTGGCACCCCAGCCATGAAAAGCTATCTGTCAGTTCACTGGAGTGCTCCTTGTTGAGCTTGTAGCACGCTTGGTCTCCTTCATTTATTGATAGTCTGCCCAGGATTAAGGAGCCACTGGATCTGATGAGGCTTGGGTAGGATCCTCAGAAAGGATCTGGTCCAGTTCCCTCCTCTTTCAGATGAAGAAGCAGAGGCTCAGAGGGGTAGAATGTCTCATATTCTGTCACCCAAGTCATGAGAGGTAGAGCTGAGACTCGCATCCACACCCTAAAAGCCACAGTGGGTCACAGGTGATTGTACCATGTACAGATAGGAACTAGGGCAAGGGTCTGTGAACTTGGATACGAAAAAGTCTGTTTTCTTTAACATCTAACTAAAATTTATCATTTCCTTGAATCGCAAATGTAGGTAACGAACCACGACAGTGTTAGCTATTCCTGTGACTTTTTCACCAAAAGAAATCACCAAGAATACACACACACATGTTGTTGCAGATTTCTCAAAAAATAATTTATATTCATCACATCTTTGAAATTATGGTAGTAATTAGATCTGCTGCTAGATTTTGTTATTCTGTGCCTTAATAAAGATGCACATATATTGCTAGACAACAATTGGGTTTTATTATTTTTTGTAAGACTTATTTATTTGAGAGATAGAGAGCGCACGAGCGTGAGGGGTCATGGGCGGAAGGGGCAGAGGGAGAGACTCTGAAGCAGGCTCCCTTGCTGAGCACAGAGCCCATTCAGAGCTCAGTCTCACAATCCTGAGAGCATGACCTGAGCCAAAATCATGAGTCAGACTCTTAACTGACTGAGCCACCCAGGTGCCCCCACAATTTGTGTTTTAAAAGGCAATTATCAACTGTTTCTGCTGTATTTTATTTTATATATATACTTACTTATTTTAAAAACATTTTTTTAAAGATTTTTATTTATTTGAGAGAGAGAGAGTACAAGTAGGGGGAGCAGGAGAGGGAGAGGGAGAAGGAGAAGCAGGCTCCCTGCTGAGCAGGGAGCCCCATGCAGGGCTCGATCCCAGGACTCCGAGATCATGACCTGAGTGGAAGGCAGACACTTAACTGACTGAGCCACCCAGGCACCCCTGTTTTATATATTTAAAACATTATTCTGTGAAGGCTTCACCAGATTGTCCAAGGGTCCATGACACAAAAGGCACCATATAAATACATTGTACTAGAGAAGTGTAAGTGGTGTCCTTTTCTTGGACATTTCAGTGGCTTAAGAGAAGCAGCCTAGCAGAAATATTTGAGGTAAGGCCTGTCTTGAAAATGGAGGCTGTAAGGACACTATAGGTCTATGTCCTGATATCTTCCTTCACGGAGGTCCCAGGTCACATAATCACAACTAGCACTAGATTAAGGCCTGTTACGACCTGTGTAGGCTCTGTTTATAGGCAGTAAGCCTGGGAGACGAGGGAACCCTCCATCTGGTGTGGCCAAAGGAGACTTACAAAAGAGGTGGCATTGGAGTAGGTATATTTGACAAGTGGAGGTGTAGGCAAGAACGTGCCAGGCAGAGGGAACCATCTGCTTTGTGTCCAGCCCAGGAAAGAAGAGCAAGTCACCGTGGTCTTAAAGTAAGATTCCACAGCAGGCAGAATGGTGTCATGCAAAGAAAAAGAATCATTGAGGTAGAAGCTCTAGAATGTGACGGGGCATCTATCTGCCACTCTGAGGTGTGACCTCAGGCAAGCCACTTAACCTTGCTGAGCCTCAGAATCCTCATTACTGATACAGATTTTATGGGTTTGTGTGAAGATGAAGAGGTGGTGATTTTTAAAGCCCTGTTCAGCTAGTTGATTATTTCTGGGACTGGAAATGAGCAGATTAGACAGGATTCTTTCAGTCACAAGGGACAGAAAACCTACCTGGGCCAGGGATGGCCTATATATCTGAAAAGTCCTAAAAAGTCCTGGAATAGTTCTCCAGCTTCTGGCTCAGTCCATTCTCATAAACCACTTTCTCCGCCAAACCTCCTCTCTCTTGGCAGCAAGATGATGGACTGTCTGAGAGTCAAGAATTAAAGTGTTTCCCCCAGAGTAAAGTCAGGGTGCAGCTGGTGGGAAAGGTGACCCGACACCTCGCAGCAAAGCCACAGATGTCTACTCTAGGAGATTTGGGGTCTAGTGCTGACTCAAGTGTGACTCATTGTGTGCTTTCAGCAAGCCTGGGGCTCCTTAGGTCCCACTTCCCTCATCTCAGCGATGTGGATCAGCTACGTGGTTTCTGAGGGTCTTTCCAACTGCAGCTCCAGGAGTCTGGGCTTGGATGAGCACTAGTTGTGCTCCCCAAAGCCTCATTTTCCAGCTGAATATTCTCCCATCTAGTCATTGTCTTCTGGGCCATCTCCTCTTTCTAGACTTTTGTGTTCCCCATTACCTTCTGGGTAAAACCTAAAGTTAGCCCAGTATCTGAAGTGTCTTATGATTTGAACTAGCCAAATTTCTCTCCCACTGGCTCCGCTGACCTCCCTGTTTCCCATTTGCCTTTCTAATGGAGCTCACTGTTATTCATTTGAAGATACCATGCTTTCAGCCACCTCTGTGCCTGTGGACGTGGTGGTCCCTCTGCCTGGAACATTCTTCCGTCTCTCTGTCTACCTGGAAGACTCCAGACAGTATCCTGCAGCCTGCTCTGGCTTTGCTAAGCTGGGTTAAGTGCCACTGCTCCGTGCTTCTGAATTCACCTGTGCTCACCTCTCTTAAAGCACTTTTAAACCTTATTTAGCTTCTGAACTTGACCATAATTTTCAGGACAAAATCTGTCCTTTCTCACTTTGCCTGATAGACACAGTTGGTATTTATTTAACTTACTGAATGAAGGAAGGAAAGGAATGAATATTGAAAGAAGTAGAATCTGAACTTATATTTGAAATGCAGAAATCTTCCCGCTGGGAGCTTAAGAACTAACTCCCAGTTTGCTCTGGACCTGGGCACCTCTACCCTAATGGTTCCTGATTGTATAGAGAGTTCTTGAGGATTAGAAGACCATTTACCTATTTTTTTCTAGGCATGTTCGTCTGTATTTTACAGACAAGAGACCCTGAGGGTCAGAGAGAGAATATGAGTGTCCAGTGCCGTGCAGCTCAGGGCAGAATCAGGACTGGGATCCTGGTCTCCATCATTTAGCTACTTAGCCATTACTTTCAGGATTTGGTCATTCATTTATTCAGCTGCTGCTCACTGAGCACGTCCTGTGTGCTGAAGCAGACTGACAAAGGCTCTGCTCTCAGAAAGCTTCAGTCTGATGGAGGCGGGCAACTCGGTGGCTGTTAGTGAAGCAGTCAAGCTTGATGGGGCTGGGGCTGGGCTGTTGCAAGGTCCCTTCTGGTCCCAGTCTGTGTCTTCCTGCCCTAGAGAGAAGAGCACCACAGTGCAGCGCTCCTCACAGCATGGGCCAGGCTCCCTGCTGCTTCCAGACCTACTGGCCTTGGTCTCTTCTCAGGTTTGGGCGCAGGCGCGTGATTGTCAAGAAGGGACAGAGGGGCAACAGCTTTTATTTCATCTACCTCGGCACGGTCGCGGTGACCGAGGATGACGATGGCAGCAGCGCCTTCCTGGACACCCACCCCACATTGTTGCACAAGGGCGACTGTTTTGGGGTAAGCACTGGGGAAGGTCGGCCTTGGTGGGGCAGGCATGGGGGCGTGACAGGACTCCAGCCAGAACAGCTGGGCCCAGTCCTGCCTTCTCCTGTGTTTAAGTCCCTGCCCTATTGTGGATCCCAGCACCCTTTCCTGTCACAGGCCAATCGACTGGACCAGCTGATGTCCAAGGATGGTTCCTCCATCTGTGATGTTTGAGGAACATGAGGAACATGTTCCCTGTATAACCCCCACAGAGGCGCAGTGACCCCTCCGAGAGGCCCCTCTGGCTTCCTCTTTCTGGTCTGGTCAAGCCTGTTGCCTCTTTTCTTCCACAAGCAGCATATTAAGAGGGAGGGGATGGGCCCCCAGGAGTGGGGAATGAACAGGAGCGCAGGGCCAGCTGGGGAGTCTGCAGTCTGGGGAGTAGAGATTTCTGGGGGCTGATGGAAGCAGGAAAGAGTTGGGCAAGGCTGCAAGGAGAAAGCAAGAGGTAGCATCTCATTTGCTTTTGCCTGTGTCAACCCAACAGGAACTGGGCATTCTGACTCCTTCACTAAGGAGGGCCACTGTGGTCTGTATGGAAGAAACAGAATTCCTCGTTGTCGACAGGGAAGACTTCCTTGAGAATAAGCTGGACCAGGAATTCCAAAAGGATGCTCAGGATCGATTTGAATTTTTTAGGTACCTCCATCATCAGCCAACATGTCCCCCCCTGTGTGTTTATTAGGTACCTGACTGTGGTAGGCCCAGTGGGAGACAGGAGATGCTGTTCTCTCCCAGAATGCTCCTGAGACAGGAGATACCTCCCACCCACCTTCTCCATCTGGCAAACTCCTGCTAGACCCTTAGGTCTCAGCTCAAACATCCCTTCCTTGTGGGATGGTACTAATAGAATAGCTTACGTGTACTCAGCCCTCTGTCCCAGGTCTTTTAACTTCTCTCATTCAATCCTGTGGCATTGTTTCTCTTGATCTGTCTAGTTTACAGGTAAGGAAACCAAGCTTTGGTGTTGGGGGGGTGGGGTGATGTACCCAGAATGTTCAATTCAGAAATCTCTGGGCTTCACCACCCCACCTCACTAACCAAGCCCATCACTCCAGAATAGAGGAGAGTGCCCCCCCAATACTTCTATTCTACCCCGTGTTCCTTTTTTTTTTTTTTTTAAAGATTTTATTTATTTATTTGACAGAGAAACAGCAAGAGAGGGAACACAAGCAAGGGGAGTGGGAGAGGGAGAAGCAGACTTCCTGCAGAGCAAGGAGCCCGATGTCAGGCTTGATCCCAGGACCCTGGGATCATGACCCAAGCCCAAGACAGATGCTTAACAACTGAGCCACCCAGGCACCCCATACCCCATGTTTCTTTGAAGTCCCAACCAAAGTGTGATTTTTTTTTTTTGAAAGTTTTATTTATTTGACAGAGATCACAAGTAGACAGAGGAGACGAGGCAGAGAAGGGTGGGTGAGGGAAGCCAGCCCCCTGCCGAGCAGAGAGCCTGATGAGGGGCTCCATCCCATGACCCTGAGATCATGACCTGAGCCGAAGGCAGAGGCTTAACCCATTGAGCCACCCGGGCACCCCCAAACTGTGATTCTTGATTGCATAATACCTCCTGTAAAGTTTATTAGACATCAGGCAGGAAGCACGTACGGTTGTGAGGGCAGGGCAGCCCTTTCGCCATGGTAATCCCCACGCTGTCGTCTCGCCAGGCACGCACAGGTGCTCATTGTATCCCTTCTAGTTACTCCCCTTTAGGAAAAGAATGGACATCAGATGAAGTGTGTGCCCCAGCCCTGAAAATACAGGCTGTGGGGCTGTGCAGCTCCAGAGCAGTGCTGGGTACAGAGGGCCACCCTGTAGGGTAGGGGGAGAGTGGAGAAAGGAGGAGCTGTAAGAGGGACTGGGGCTTGCGAAGGGAGGATTTAGCCCTGCAGGGAGAGGAGCACTTCCTGTTTTCACACCGTGGAAAAATGGGGCTGAGCTGCAATCTCAGCTCTTGGGTTTATCAACCATGTCACCCTAGATGGGTCACCTCCCTTCTCTGAGTTGAGTCTCCTGCTCTGTAAAATGGGGATAATGATTCATCTCTCTCCCAAATCTTTGTAAAGATCGAATGAGATGATCATGGGAAGTAGGGGCCCAGTGGTGTTGCCTCTGTGGAGATCCTGCTTTCTCTTCCCGTGTCTCCAGACCCTTCTCCTTTGGACGTGGCACCGACCTTGTTCCCCCTTGGTGCCCTGGATGAGCTCAGTGTCCTGAGTCACCCAAGTTCCGAGCTCATGATCTGTGGGAGCTGAAAAATTTGAGATGGTTGTTAGCAACCCTATGGGGCTGCACGTGAGGGACAGCAAGCCACTGAGTGGTGGTGCATGAGCTCGGGGTGGGGGCAGGGTGGTGGCACTGCAGGGTGGGCCTTCAGTCAGAGGGAACAAAGGCAAAGAGAGGGGAGTCCAGATGTCCCCCATTCATTAGGCACAGGCCCAAGTCTTTGAAACTAACAGGCTGGAGGAGGCTGGAGTGAGTTGCCCAAACCAAAGGGAGGGGGAGGGCTGCTGGGCTGGGGGCCAGAATAGTAGGTGAGCTGAAGTGAGGCGCTCTGGGAGTTGCCTAATGAGCACTAGATTGGGGGATGGGGCCAGAAAGGAGCCCCTGGAGGGCAGAGTGGAAGTGAGAGGGGACAGCACTGGACTGGGGAGCAGTAGAGGGAAGACCTGGAGAGGGTGCCACAGGCCAGGTGAGGCGACTGGAGGGCAAGTAAAATCCTCCACATCAGGCATTTTCAAGAGCAAGATGACACATTCCCTTTCTGGAAATTGCCGAGAGCTGGGCACTTTCTGGGGTGGAGGGTGATGAATTCTTTTTTTTTTTTTTTTTTTTAAGATTTTATTTATTTGACAGACAGACATCACAAGCAGGCAGAGAGACAGGCAGAGAGAGGGTGGGGGGGAAGCAGGCTTCCTGCTGAGCAGAGAGCCCAATTCAGGGCTCGATCCCAGGACCCTGAGATCATGACCTGAGCGGAAGGCAAAGGCTTAACCCACTGAGCCACCCAGGTGCCCCGAGGTTGATGAATTCTAATGGGATTTTCCCCTCAGGAAGATGGATCTGTTTGAGTCATTGTCTGATGAGAAGCTCTGGAAGCTTGTAGCCCTGGGGAAGGTGGAGAAGTTCTCTTATGGGCAGCTGATCTCAAAAGATTTCATGGAATTGTCCTCCATCATGTTTATCAGCAAGGTGAGAGGCCTGGGATGGGGGTGGGGGGGTGGAAGCTGTGGAGGCATGCCTAGTATAATGTCCTGTGGCCACACAGGCGGGGCTGAGCCCTGTTCTGAAGCACTCCCCTTTTCTGAGAGTCCATGTACCAGCTGTAAAAGACGTACCACGGAGTTTGGCCTCCCTCCCTCTGAGGTTCTGTGACTTTGAGATACACCGTTAATTAGAAAGAGGGACACAGGGGTACCCCCTCCTTGAGCTCATCATGTATAGGCTTATTTACGTACAGATATTTAAATTACACATTTGGGCCTTGAATCTTAATGATGCCAGATCAGTTTTTAAAATTATAATCTTTAGGGGCGCCTGGGTGGCTCAGTTGGTTAAACTTCTGCCTTCAGCTCAGATCATGATCTCAGGGTCCTGGGATTGAGCCCTGAGTCGGGCTCCCTGCTTGGTGGGGAGTCTGCTTCTCCCTCTCTCTCTGCTCATCCCCCTGCTTGTGCTCTGACCCTCTCTCAAATAAATAAATGTAATCTTTTAAAAAATACGATCTCTAAATTATAGATGTGATATGACCACATTATAAAACATAGTTCTGGAAAGAGGGAAGAAATCACCCATGAACTCATCACCTCAGAAAAGATTTTCAGTCGTGGAATTGCTTGGGCAGCTAGGTGGCTCAGTTGGCTGGGTGTTTGCCTTTGGCTTAGGTCATGATCTCATGGTCCTGGGATCGAGTTCTGCCTCAGGCTCCTTGCTCAGCGGGGAGTCTGCTTCTCCCTCTGCCACTCCTTCTGCTTGTATTCATGCACTCACTCTCTCAAAAATGAATAAATAAAAAAAAATCTTTAAAAAAAAGTGGATTTGCTTGGTATCAACGTGTTACGGATTTTGGAACAAGTTGCTGTACAGAAGGATCCACTGGATCGAGCTTCCAGCAGTGTGCACCTTTGCCAGCACCACACGCCTCTGCTGGGCTCTCCTGTCATTCCTTCAAAACTTTCCTAATTTCATAGATGGCAACTGCTACCTCACTGAGGATTTAATTTACATTTTTCCTCATTACTAGTGAGACTCATCATGTTTGTCTACTATCCAAATTTCATCTTTTGTGAATTGCTTTATGTCCTGTGCCAATTTCTCTGTTGGTTGATAATGAAAACAGAGTCTGACATTTATTGAGTGCTTACCCTGTCCCAGGCTGTGTGCTCCATGTGCTTTGTGTCATTTCAGCCTCACGGCAGCGCAGTGTAGGCCGGTACTGCCGTTATTCCCATTTGACAGAGGTGGAGACAGAGGCACAGGAAGGTTAAGTGGCTTGTCCAAGGTCACACAGTTGATGAGGGGCAGTGGCCGGGTTCAACCCAGGTCTGTCTGACTCCAAAGCTCTTCTCAGGGGCTGGGATTTGCAATTTGAGTTGACCTGTCAGTTGTGGACTCTGCTCTACCCCTGTATAGTTTTCATGATTGTCATGAGAACCACCATGTTTTTGAGACCATTTGCTCCTGTGCCAGGGATTCTACTAGCATTGTTAATTGTTTTTGTTTATTTTGGTTTATTTGCACCTGATTTGAAATCCAAAAGTTTCAAAAGAGTAATGTTTCCCTCTCACCTTTTCCCCCTGCCACCCAGTGTACCTCCCCAGGGACAGTCACCGTCACTGCTTTCTTCTGTGTCTGTCCTGTGGCTGTTCTTTGTATATAAAGGCAAATGCATGTATACGTTTTTTTCCTTGTTTTCACAAATGGCATCATGCTACACAGGCTGTTCTGTATTTTGCTGTTTCAAGAGTATTTCTGTAGATTGTTCCATATCAGTCCATAAAGAACCCCCCCCCACACACACATATATATATATTTATATATATATATATATATATATATTTTTTTTTTTTTTTTTAACCACTTGTGCAATGTTTTACTACATGATTGTACTTGAATTTATCTAACCAGTTCCCTACTGAGGGATTGGTGCCCCCATCTTTTGCTATTTCAAGCAATGCTCTGGTGAACTGTGTACACAGTAACATTTACCATAAATCTTCACCACAGCTCTATCAGGAAGACATTCTTTTTTTTTTTAAATGGTTTTATTTATTTATTTGAGAGAGAGAGAGAGAGCGAGAGCATGAGAGGAGAGAAATCAGTGGGAGAAGCAGACTCCCCACCGAGCAGGGAGCCCGATGTGGGACTCGATCCCAGGACTCCAGGATCATGACCCGAGCCGAAGGCAGTTGCCCAACCAACTGAGCCACCCAGGCGCCCCCTCAGGAAGACATTCTTATTTCACATTTACAAATGAGGAAGTTGAAGTTAAGATACCCTAGGAAAGGTCACCCATCTAGTAAGTGGCAGAACAAGGATTTTGCCCCCAAACTTTTAGTATCTCCCATATAGCTGTTGCTCATATTAAGCCACCAAACATTTGTTGATTTTTTTTCCAAGTTTGGTTCATGCTCTGGAGGGATATGAGGATGGAAAAGACTGTTTCTCTCTCCTTATATCTCTCTTCCACTAGAGTCTGAGCAGAGACAAAGTTATCCAGGCCAACTACCAAGTGATTAGTGCAAACTCTTTGAGTTTACAAGGATTTAGTAGGGAGACCTCTCTAAAGGCTGGGGGCTTTAAAGAAGGCTTCCTGGAGAAGGTGAGGAGTTGAGCCTTGAAGTGTTGGACCATTGGACAAAAGGAAAGGCAAGACTGGCTATATGCTGGAGTCGGTTCTTATTGGCCTATGAGAGCTGATTAAGATTTCAGGAATTTTGCAAGACCATAAACAAAATAATTGCTAAAAATTGAATTATATGAACCTATAATTAAATATATGGAAAACAAGTGTAGCAAATAATGAAAATTCATCATTTCCTCATGATGTTACTGTATTTTACTATTATCTGTGCCCTGGAGTTTATGTCTATTTTAGCTATCTGGTGGAAACACTGTACAACTATGCATGTCTCTTCCCACCTGCGCAGTCAGTGACTTCAGGTTGGTAGCTGAAAATTGGCCCCAGCAGGACAGTGGAAATCAGCAGATACCTTGAGTCAGGTTTTGATTTATGGTTTTGCTGATTGTCTTAAGAAAGCTATAGAGAGAATGCTTATGATGCAGATTAAATTTAAAAGTGGGCTGGGTCTGTAGCCATCTCATTGTGAAGAGAAGAAAATTATGGAAATGTTTTTCCAGTATTTAAACACTATTCATAATACATTCATCATGGGAGTTACATCACTGTTGAACAAGTGAAATTCTAATATATATAGCGCCACAGCTAAAGGGGGTTTATTAGTGAATATAATTTGGACAAGGGTGAGAAGTCGTTTACCAGTAGATTACAAACCAGACTTGATAGTATTAAGTTTATTGGGAAAAGAGTGGATTGGATGCAACTTTGTTTCCCCAATCATGGTTGAATTGTGACTATAGATTGGTCATGGTTATAAGAACTCAGCCAGAGGGGCATCTGGGTGGCTCAGTGGGTTAAGCCTCTGCCTTCAGCTCAGGTCATGATTTCAGGATCCTGGGATCGAGCCCCACATCGGGCGCTCTGCTCGGTGGGGAGCCTGCTTCCCCCTCTCTCTCTCTGCCTACATGTGATCTCTCTCTCTGTCAAATAAATAAATAAATAAATAGATAAATATATTAAAAAAAAAAATAAATAAAGAACTCAGCCAGAGTCCACAACAGCATTCTATGAGAATCCCTCAGCTATTTGGAACTTTCAGTAAGAGTATAATATGTTTTATTGTTATTTATAAATTGTGTGCAGCACACCCTTAATAAGACTAAGATTTACAGACATGTGTACCTTTTCCCAGAGAGCCGATTATTAAACTTAACACCAGGTGGGTGTTTGTGCTGTTATTTTGGGTTCAGTCCCAGAGGAGAGAGTCAAGACTAGCTAAATGTAAGCAGAAAGGGAATTATTGGAGGATGTTGAATGGCTAACAGATTTACTGGTGACAGGGAGGCCTGAGGGAACAGACCTTACACTGAAGGGGACCCCCAAATGACTCCTAGTCCCAGTCCAGACTGGACAGTCACAGGTGCTGCTGCTCCTGCCAAGTTCAGGAAGTCACATCTGTAGCCACTGCCTCCACGAGCACAGTGGAGAGCTTGCCATCCAAAACCAAACCTTGCTCAAGTGTGTCCGGGCGGGGGAACCCAAATCACCTACTTAGCTGCCAGGAGGCTTGGGAGATGTTTGGGAGGATTTGGCTTCCAGCCTCTACTGTCTAAAGGACTGGAAGCACAGGGTCTGACCCAGAGGATGGTGGGGATGAGGATGAGGCCCTTGCCAGACATGGGGAATAGTGTGCTAGGTCTGGAGAATCCTGGTGGCCATGTCAGGAGAGTGGGAAGAGCCTAACAGAGGGACTGGTAAGTAAGCAGAGAGCCCTGAAGACCACCCTCCCTACTTTACAATCCTTTCTCCTCCCTGACATCTGCTTCCTCTTTCCTAAAATGTTGGGGTGATCACCTCCAAAGCCAGGAATGCCATGTGTCCCCAGATTTAACTCTGAGGTCTTTTGATACTATGTAGCCAGGGAAGATTGGGGGCAGGGGTGGAAAGGGATCAAAGTTCAAGACTTGCTTTAATCAGTATGATGATTACATCTTGACCAGCAGAAAGTTCTTAGTCTGTTTTAGCCTCCATTTCTTTGTAAAATGGGACCACTTACCTCATAAAGTCTGTAAGGATGAGTCTAGCACAGACTTACTCAGTTCACGTTCATCCTCCAATTCAGTGGTTCCGAGTGCTGTTGCTTGATCAGCAGCATCCATCAGTATTACCTGGGAACTCACTAAAATGCAGATTCTCAGGCCTACCCAAGAGCTGTTCAATATCCAAAACTCGGGTTTTTTTTGTTTGTTTGTTTTTAAGATTTTATTTATTTATTTGAGAGAGACAGAGAGATCACAAGGGGGGTGAGTGTCAGAGGGAGAAGCAAACTCCCCGATGAGCAGCAAGCCCGATGTGAGACTTGATCCCGGGACTCCGGGATCATGACCTGAGCTGAAGGCAGCCACTTAATGACCGAGCTACCACGTGCCCCCAAAACTGTTTCAACAAGCCTTCGAGGCAATTCTGATGTGCACTAAAATTGGAGAAGTCTGATTTAAGGGAAGAGTTTTTCAGATTTGAGTAAGCATAAAGAGCACTTTAGGGGGCTTCTTAAAAATGCAAATTTCTGCCTCACCCCAGAGTCTCATGCCTTAACTCCAGCAATCTGCATTGGAATAAGCACAGCTGGTGAATCTAAAGCAGGCGCTCTTGAAGTTCTTTCTGAGAAAGATAATACAGATGTCACAAAGTGACAGCCGGTGTGTTTGTGTGTGTTGGGGGGCATCCTGGCTAGTAGGTGAATTGGATTTGTCCTTTAATGTGTTTTATGGAAAACTCATTTAATCGTTACTGAGAAGATGATAAATACAATTTTGGATTTCTTTTTTTTTTTTAAGGTTTTTTAAAAAATTTTTATTTATTCATTTGACAGAGATCACAAGTAGGTAGAGAGACAGGCAGAGAGAGAGGAGGAAGCAGGCTCCCCGCTGAGCAGAGAGCCCGATGCGGGGCTCGATCCCAGGACCCTGGGATCGTGACCTGAGCCGAAGGCAGAGGCTTTAACCCACTGAGCCACCCAGGCACCCCCAATTTCGGATTTCTGACTTCTTTTGAATATTCAGAAGTTCAGGCAACACCACGCTGTATTGTGATGCAGCCCCCTCTGGCTGGAGTTGAAGAGCACCTGCCCCTTTTAAAGGCACTACTTTTTTTCCTCCCATTTTTATTTCCCATCAGGCCTGCTGTTGGAATATTCGTCTAAGGAGACTGGGGAGTCCGGGATCCTGTAGTTCATAGCTGTGGCCACTAGAGGACGATATTAGCAGTGAGTGGCCTGGGTGTCTTGGGGACCCGGGAGAGTTAGGGAAGGCAGTTTCCCGGCAGCATAGAAAACATACTTAATACCCACAATCAACTCATTTTGAACAATTAATCATTTGGGGGCACATGGTCGAATTGTTTTCTACACAGATACAGATGGGATTAAAGACCCACAAGAGACTTTCTGAGAGGATGTTCACCTGTGTTCCTCTGGTACCAGGTTCCTTGTTGATAAATGTTGCATAAGTGTTGACTAAACCTCCAAGCCCAACACCTGGCTAGACTAAGGCTTATTAAATGTTTGATCCCTTCTTCCTCTTTAACAGTAATCTGTCTTGAACCTTAACTATAATGTGTGTCTTACAGTTCCAACTAAAAAAGGGTAAGATTTTATAAAAATACAAAATAAAAAATGGCATATCTTTCTTTCCTATCAGATTAGGAAAGATTAAAAGGATTGTGAAAACTCAGTTTTCAATGTAACAGAAAACTATAACAGGCTCTGTTATGCACTGCCAGAGAGAGTGTAAACTAACATTTCTGGAAGGCAATTTGGCAATGGGTATCGATATTGAAAACAACACACCTATAGGAAACAATCTCAAGGGGACAAACATGGGTATTACATGAGGATAAACTAGATTATGCTACAATTATAAGCAATCCTCAAATCTCAGTGGATTAACTGACAAAGATGCATTCCTTCATCCCACTACTTGATCACAGCAGATCAGCAGGAGGCCTGGCTTTTCATGGTCCCTCGGGGCATAGGCCGCTGGAAACTATCTTCACCTATGCTTCCATGGTCAAAAGGACAGGGGAAGGGAATGTTGAGAATCAAGCACTGGCTTTTAAAGTTCCCACTCAGATTATCAGCAGTCACTTTGCTGAGGAAAGTGACAAAGCAAGTGAGAAGGCCATGTCTGATTCAAGGAAAAATACAGTCCTGCCTTATGCTTGTGGGGAGAACTTGAGTATTTGTGAACTGCCTCAATGACAAGTCTAGATTAAGACATGTGTGCAAGATTATCACTTAAAGTTGCTGTCATAGAAACCCAACTGCCGTGGCTTAGTAAATAGTAATTTTGTCTTGCAGTGGAAAGTCTAGAATTAAGCAATCCAGGGCTAGAAAGCTGTTGGAGAAAGGCTTTAAGACCCCAGTCCCCTTCTTGCTTCTCCCCTCATTATCCACAGCTTGTGGCTTTCATCCTAGTGGTCACAACATGACTGTTCACCTCCGGCCATCACATCTGAGTTTCAGGCAGAGGTAAAGGAGAGATCAACCATAAGTTTCCTGGGAGTTTTATCCATCAGTCTTCCACATATGTGTCATTAGCTGGAACTGGGTCACTGCCATCCCCACTGTAGCAGAGTTTGGGAAGGTGGTGAGTTTTATAAATGGAGTTTTGTTGTCCTGAACAAAATCACAGTTATATATACTATTGACAAATTAGAAATAACTGAATATTAGTCTTCAAAAATGTTTCCTTGAGGTATAACATGTATGCAATAAAGAACTCATCTAAAGTTTATAGCTTAGTGAATTGTTACATAGGTATACACCTGTGTAAGTATCATCCAAATCAAGGTAGAGATCATTTCTAGCACCCCAGAAGGCTCCCTTGTACCCTTTCCCAAACAAAATACCCACCACCACCAAACAGAGCCCTCTTCCGACTTTGTCAGAAGATTACTTTTGCCTGTTCTTGCACTTCATATAAATGGAATCATACAATATGTGCTTTTTGTGTCTGACTTCTTTTGATCAACAATTTATTTGAAATCCTATGTAAGTTATAACATACATAGAATAATATGCAATCATTAAAAACAATAATGTAGAACCATGTTAGTTGGTGTAAAATGATCTTCTTAATGTATTATTGAGTTTTATTTTTTTATTTTTAAAAGATTTTATTTATTTATCAGGGAGAGAGAGAGCATGAGCAGGGAGAAAGGTGGGGGGAGAAGCAGACTCTCCACTGAGCAAGGAGCCCAATATGGGACTCGATCCCAGGACCCTGGGATCATGACCTGAGCCAAAGGCAGACTCAACCGACTAAGCCACCCAGGTGCCCCTGTATTTTTTTTTTTTAAAAGGTCACAAGAATGTTTTACATAAAAGAATTCGCTTGTGAAAAATTGTCTATGTCTATGTTATATGTTTACAGAGAAAAGTTTGAAAAAATAGTCACCAAAATGCTACTCCTTATTATTTCTGGGTGTTAGGATAAAATAGTTTTAAATTTCTTTATGTCCTTCTGTTTGGCTTGAACATTTTTTTTAAGCTTTTAATCTTGGAATGTTTTTAAATTTATAGAAAAGTTGTAAGAACAGAACAAAGAACTGTATAACCTTGATCCCGATTCACCGATTACTAACATTTTACCACATTTGCTTCTATATATATATATTTCCCTGCCCGAATCATTTGAAAGTTAAATATCATTCATTATACTCACTTACCCCTATATACTTAAGTGATTTTTTTTCTAAAGTCAGAAATTGATTGCAGAATAATTATCCAAATCAGGGCATTTAACATTGATGTAACATATAATCTACAGTCCATAGTCAATTTCACCACTTGTCACAGTATCATTGTCTAGGGTGATTGTTTTTCCCCCAATGCCAACATTTATTTAGTTCTCATGCCTATTTAGCTTTTTTTTTTTTTCCTATTTAGCTTTTTGAGCTTATGATGAATAGATAACATTTGTGTTTAAAAAAAAAAAAAGAACCTGAAAACTTGCATTAAGCCAAGTAAACTGGGGTAAGATGTAGTAGAGCTTATCCTCAAAGCCTGGCCTGCCCCCAGCTTCAGGGGTTAGCCTTTTTGTTTGTGTCCCTTGATGTTTCCAGGGCAGCTGTGAAGTGCTGCGTCTGATAGACCTCGGGACCTCGCCTTTCTACTACAAGTGGGTCTGGCAGCATCTGGAGCTGATAGACGGCAGACCTCTGCAGACCCACCTCAGTGGTAACTGGCAGCCGCGCACAGCAGGGGGCGCCTGGGCCCTTAAGCTTCCCGTGTGCTCTTAGACCTCCTGAGCTAGAAAGGCCCGGCAGGATGTCTGGTTTGATCCCCTTTTCCCAGCTGTGGAAACGTGGCCCACATGGCCCCATGGGGGAGGCTCCTGCCCACCCCCCTCCGGCTCCTCCTTTTTAGGCTTTCCCTTTATGTCAGGTGCCCCTGGGGAGAGGGGTGGAAAGGAGCCTGGAGCTTGACAGAGCTGGGTTTGAATCTCACTGGTTAGCTGGATGACTCGGGTAAGTACTTAAAGCCTCTGGGTCTGGTTCCTGGAGGTAGTGTAGTGGCTAGGAGCACCGGCCCAGCCAAACTGCTCAGGGTCCATCTCTTAATAGCTGCATGATACCGGGCAAGTGACTGTGTCCCTATGCCATCAGTTTCCCTCAGATGGTCCCTACCTCGTGGACTTGTTATGAAATGAAGCAAATGAATGTCTAAAGATCTTTTTTTTTTTTTAAAGATTTTATTTATTTGACAGAGAGAGAGAGATCACATGTAGGCAGAGAGGGAGGGGGAAGCAGGCTGCCCGCTGAGCAGAGAGCCTGATGTGGGGCTCGACCCCACGACCCTGAGATCATGACCTGAGCCGGAGGCAGAGGCTTAACCCACTGAGCCATCCAGGCGCCCCGTGATTGGCTTATTTCACTTTGCATAATGTCCTCAAGGTTCATCATATTATAGCATGTATCAGGATTTCCTTCTTTCTGAAGCCTGAAGAATATTCCATTGTGTGTATATGTCCCATTTTGCGTACCCATTCATCCGTCAATGGACTCTTGAGAACTTACACATTTCAGCTAGAGTGACTAATGCCGCTATGAGCGTGGGTGTAGAGTTATCTCTTTGAGACCTGCTTTTCTTTTGAATATATACCCAGAAATGGACTTGCTGGATCATATAGTAATTCTATTTTTAATTTTTTTTAGGGAATTGCCATACCGTTTTCCACAGGGGCTGTCCCATATTATGTTCTCACCAACAGTGCACAAGGGTTCTGGTCTTTCCACATCCTCACCAGTGCTTGCTGTGTCCTGTTTGTATGGTTTTTATGAGACTGACGCACTGCCTACTGCGCTAAGAAGGCACTTGTATGGTTTTTAAACATGATATTCATCTTAATGGATAGGAGGTGGCATCTTATTATAGTTTTTTAATTTATTATTTATCATCTTTTTATTATAGTTTTGATTTGTATTTCCCTAATGATTAGTGGTGTTGAGCATCTTTTTCTGTGTTTATTGGCCATTCACATATCTTCTTTGGAGAAACATCTATGCAAGTTCTTTGCCTGTTTTAAAATCTGATTGTCTGTTTTTTTGTTAAGTTTTAGGAATTTTCTATATATTTTGGATAATACCTTACTAGATATGTTTTGCAAATATTTTATCTCATTCTGTGGGTTGCCTTTTTAACTCTTAATACTGTCTTTTGATGCACACATTGTTAACATTTTAATGAAGTCCTGTTTGTCCATTTTTTCTTTTGTTGCCTGTGCCTTTGGTTTATATACAAGACATCACCACCAGATCCAATGTTGTGATGCTTTTGCCCTGTGTTTTCTTCTTTTTTCATAAGTGGGCTCCACACCCAGCATGGAGCCCAGCGTGGGGGCTTGAACTCAGGACCCTGAGATTAAGGCCTGAGCTGAGATCAAGAGTTGGACACTTGGGGCGCCTGGGTGGCTCAGTGGGTTAAGCCTCTGCCTTCGGCTTAGGTCATGATCTTAGGGTCCTGCAATCAAGCCCTGCATCGGGCTCTCTGCTCGGCAGGGAGCCTGCTTCCCTTCCCCCCTCTCTATGCCTACTTGTGATCTCTGTCAAGTAAATAAATAAAATCTTAAAAAAAAAAAAAAAGAGTTGGACACTTAACATACTGAGCCACCCAGGCACCCCAAACCCTGTGTTTCTTCTAAGAGCTTTATAATTTTAGGCCTTAACATTTAGGTCTTTGAACCATTTTGAGTTAATTTTATTTGTGGTATGATGTAAGGGTCTAACTTCATTCTCGTTAGAATGAAGTTCTAACTTCTAATGAAGTTAGAACTTCTAACTTCTAATTAAAATCACGTAGACTTGAATTAAACCCAAGCTTCAGCCCTTTCCTGGATGACTTAAACTTTGAGTGCTGCTCATTTGATTTCTTAAATGGAGCCAGTAACACGGGATATAACGTACATGGAGGCTCTGCTCAGGGCCTGGCCCAGACAGACAACACATGGAAACCACAGTGTTTTCTGTTTTCCTTCCTTTCCCCATGCGCCAGACTGGCCAGGCAGGTGAGGAGGGTAAAGTTTTCACCATCATCAGCACAGACCTCCTATATACAAAGACCCATTAACATGTTTTTCTGTGCTTTCTCTAACAGAATCTTCTCCTGTGGAGAGATTTAAGGAATTTCAGATCAAATCATATCCTGTACAGGACTTCAGCTTTCTGAAACTTAAGCACCTCCAGAACTCCTGGGAGCAAGAGGGGACCAGCTTCAGTAGGCAGATTAACATCCCGGGAAATTCTTTTCCGAAGATGTGGGGCCCAAAGATCAAGTAAGCTTAGCTCTTGGCAGATAGAAGCTTCCAGATTCTGGTTGAAGAGGGAGATATAACTTGAAAGGATAGAATGTCAGGGATGCTGGGGAGGGGGCAGAGGTAGCAGGTACAGCTCGACCCCAAAGATTGGGGTATAGACAGAAGGTGGCTTAGAGAAATCCTAGACTTGAGACCCAGGAGCTACGTTCTCTGTCTGTAACCCACAGAGCCACTTGAGGCAGCCAGCTACTTCCTTTCTCAGGGGACTCATTTGAAGGAGAGGCAGATCTTTTGGCTCTGATACTCTGTGTGTCACTGGATCTTTTTGACTCTGAGCCTCTTCAGAAAAATTCTACCCATCTAAAGGAGGCAGGAGGTAAGAGCCTGGGCTTTGGAGTCAGTTCAGCCCAGGTTCAAATGCTAGCTTGGCCACTTATTTTAGCTCTGTGTCCTTGTACAAGGGACTTGACCTCTCTAAGCCATAGTTCCCTTGTCTATAGATAATAGGATTTAAGTCTTGGGGCACCTGGGTGACTCAGTGGGTTAAAGCCTCTGCCTTCGGCTCAGGTCATGATCCCAGGGTCCTGGGATCGAGCCCCACATCGGGCTCTCTGCTCAGCGGGGAGCCTGCTTCTCCCTCTCTCTCTCTGCCTGCCTCTCTGCCTACTCGTGATCTCTCTCTGTCAAATAGATAAATAAAATCTTAAAAAAAAATAGGATTTAAGTCTTGGTGTTGTTATAAGACAGCAATTAAATGTGATAATGGCAGTTATAGCTAACACTTGTGGAATACTCCGAGCCTGGTCCTGGATTATCTAATTTAATCCTCGCAGGTTCTATGAGGTAAGTGCTGTTATCAGTCCCATTTTTCAGGTGAGGAAACCAAGCTACAGAGAATGATTAAGTTTCCTGTGAGATCTTACAAGGTAGGAAGCAGTGGAGCCAGGATTCAAACCTGAGCAGCTTATTAGTGCTCAGTCCTATTGTCTGGTACGACTGTCACGGCTGGAATGAGAATGTGCAACGGGGGCTGTGCTTTTGCCTCAACCCAGAGAGGCTGAGGAGCAGGAAAGGACACTCAGTGGTCCCTGCCCAGAGGCAGCTCAACGCTGGACCCACAGCAATCTAACACTTCTCCCCCCACCTCCTCCATACAATGTAAAATTAAAATATCACCACGAGGGGTGCCTGGGTGGCTCAGTTGATTGTCTGCCTTTGGCTCAGGTCCTGACCTGGAGTCCTGGGATCGAGTCCCGCATCAGGCTCCCTGCTCACGGAAAGTCTGCTTTCCTTCTGCCCCTCACCCTGCTTGTGCCCTCTTTCTTGCTCTCTCTCTCTCTCTCAAATAAATAAATAAAAGCTTTAAAAACTATATTACAATACTAGTAATAATAACATGAGTGTCACAGTCTCCATGTTGCCCCAAGTACCACTGCACTCAAATCCTTTGCCTGTTAGCATTTCTAGCCTGCTGGTCTCCATAAGGAGCATCCCATAACTTCTGAGTTGTCATTCCCTCCGATGCATATTCTTTCCAAGCGATCCAGTGCTTGAAGTCCCAGTCCCAGTCCTTCTGCAGGTAGGGATGGAACAGACCCAGTTTCTCTGCTGTACATCAGTAAAGGAGAAGAGACAGGTTGGACCCAGAAGTGAAAAGCAAAGACCATGCTGGGCATGTCCTGGGGGGTGAGAATTGTAGGCTGCCTTGTTTATGTGTTGGGTGGCTTTATGAGTTGGGTGAATATATCATCTATCTTCTCAGCTGATAAATAATTTTTTCCCTGCCTCTAATCCAGATCGTATAGCCTGTCTCTTCCTTCTACCTCACCTGAGACCAAAGGAAGCACAACAAGGTTGCCTGTGTAAAATTAATTCCAACATGAACAAAGTACAGACTCTACAGGCTGCCCAAGGAAACCTGTCTTTTATTTTATTTTTATTTTTTTTAATTTGACAGAGGGAGAGAGATCACAAATAGGCAGAGCAGCAAGCAGAGAGAGAGGTGGAAGCAGGCTCCCCGCCAAGCAGAGAGCCTAATGTGGGGCATGATCCCAGAACCGTGAGATCATGACCTGAGCCAGAGGCAGAGGCTTAATCCACTGAGCCACCCAGGCGCCCCAGAAACCTGTCTTTTAAACAAATAAACAAAGCCATTTCTTCTCTGCTTTTCTGTCAAGAAGGAGAGCCCCAACCTCTGTGTGTCCCCCAGGGGTCCAGAGCTTACTTGAGGCCAAAGCAGTCTGTTCTAAGTTCTAACTTAGAAATTTCTTCCTCATGTTGAACATCTATTGGACAGCCTGGACTTCTCATCCATCTGGTCTGACTCAGCTGTCTGAGCTCATCAGCCCCTTCTTCTACATAATAGCCTTCAGGTGTTTAAAGGGGGGGTCCTATCTCTTTCTCTGCTAGCCTCCCCCCTATTAAACTTCTCCAGTTCCTGACATGGTTTCTTCCAGAGCTTGGTTTGAGTTTTCTCACTTTCTGGGGGCAGTGTGAGTTCTCCAGGGAGGGGAGGTCTCTGTGTATGGCAGAGTGGGGGCTGACTGTCTAGGGCTTTGTGAACTGGCTGTGTGACAAATGAGTTCTCTTTAACAAGCTGTCGTATTTCAGGTCCAGGGATCCTCATTCACTTCAGTGTTCCCTGATCAGTACCAAGTATGGTGATCTCCCCGAGGAGGCTGCAGTGGGCGCCTACATCAAGATCCACACTGTGGAGGAAGGAGACACTGTGGTGAGTGTGCAGAGAGCCTCCCTCAGGAGAGAGTGTGTAATGTGGCAGGTTAGGAGTATTAAGGAATAATAGGAAAGGTTTGAAAACATCTCACTTGATATTTGGTGATATTAAGGAATATTGTTGATTTTTTAAGATATAACAGTATCATGGTTATGTTTTTTAGGAGTCCTTATACTTAAGAGATACATATCAAAAAAACAGATAAAATGATATGACATCTGGGACTTGCTTTTTTTTTTTTTAAGATTTTATTTATTTATTTGACACAGAGAGAGAGAGAGATCACAAGTAGGCAGAGAGGCAGGCAGAGAGAGATGGGGAAGCAGGCTCCTTGCTGAGCAAAGGAGCAAGGAACAAGGAACAAGGAACAAGGCAAGAATATACCCTCTCACCACTCTTTTTCAACATTGTGCTAGAAGACCTAGCTAGTGCATTAAGGCAAGAAAAGGAAGTAAAACATTTGGGAAGAAAAAAATAAAGCTGTCTTTGTATGTGGATATTTTATTGTCTATGTAGACAACTCCAAAGAATCAAAAAATAAAAACAAAAAAACCCTCTTGAAGTAAATAAATTATTATAGCAAGATCACAGGATATAAGACAGTGAAGTGAACATTGACATTTGAAATAAAACGCAAAAGCATTTACAATAGCACCAAAAATGAAATACTTAGGTATAAGTCTAACAAAGTATGTTCAGGATCCACATGCAGAAAACTATTAATAACGAAAGAATTCACGGGGTGCCTGGGTGGCTCAGTCAGTTAAGCACCTGCCTTCTGCTCAGGTCATGGTCTTAGGGTCCTGGAATCAAGTGCCGTACCAGGGTCCCTGCTCAGGAGGGAGCCCACTTCTCCCTCTCCCTCTACTCCTCCCCCGTGCTTATGTGCCCCCTCTCTCTCAAATAAAATAAAATCTTGAAAAAATTGTAATAAAAGAACTCAAAGAAGATTTAGATAAATGGAGAAATATTCTATGTTCATGGATTGGAAGAGTCTATGATTAACATGTCAGTTCTTCCCAACTTAATCTATAGATTCAACACAATCTAAGCCAAAACCCCAGAAAGTTATTTTGTGGATATTGACAAAGTGATTCTAAAATTTACATGGAAAAGTGAATGTAAACCAACTGGTAAATCCAAACAATGAAATATTCTTCATCAATAAGAATAAATGAACTTTCAAGCTAAGAAAAAACGTGAAGGAAACTTAAATAAGTATTTTAAGTGAAAGAAGCCCATGTGAAAAGATTAAGTATTGTGTATTCCAATTCTGTGACATTCTGGAAAAGGCATAACTATAAAGTTAGTGATCAGTGGTCACCGGAGGTTTGGAGTTCAGGAGGAAGAATCAATAGGTGAAGCACAGAGGACTTTTAGGAGAGTAAAATTATTCCGTATGATACTATAAAGGAAGATACAAACCCTTAAGCATTTGGTAAGACTCATAAAACTTTATAGCACAAAGAGTGAACCTTAATGAATGCAATTTGTTACCAAAAAAATAGGAGTCATTTAGGAGGCAGGAGATCGCAGGAGGGAATGCAGACTACGACGAGAGCATCTAATGATACTACAAATGTCTGAAATGATCTCAGTGAAGAGGGTGGGAGGAAATGGTGCTGATCTATGTAATGCTGGAGGCAGCTGGGGTCCCTGAGCCTGAAAGTCGAAGGCACTGCGCATGAGCGCTGTACTCTGGCTGATGACCTTGTGACCCAGGGGTATATGCCTAACAGCTCTGATACTGCAGTGCACGTGCCCTGAAATGGATCAAATCAGTAAATGAATGGCCGTGGATGGCAGCCAGGTTTCTCAGCACTGGAGTAGAGATTTGCAGATAAGCAAGGAGGAGGCTAGAATGAACCATGTGGGAACGGATTCCTTAAAGACCTCAGTATGAACTCCTGTTTAACTTAATATAAATACAGATGGTTATGCATGGAAATATTTAGAGATATGTGCCTCAACATATATTTTTTGCTCTGTCAACTGACAGAGCCTAAAATAAATGACACTGTAGTAGCAATGAGCAAACCTAGCATCCAGATCTTAGTTTCTTTTTATTTGATTTATTCATTTGACAGAGAGAGAGAGTGCACGCACAAGCAGGGGGAGAGGGAGAGGGAGAAACAGACTCCACTGAGCAGGGGGCGGGATGCAGAACTGCATCCCAGGACCCTGGGATCATGACCTGAGCTGAAGGCAGAACGCTTAACTGACTGAGCCACCCAGGCACCCCTGGAACTTGGTTTCTAATATCATTCTTTTATAAGAGAAACAAGGGCTCCTTGGAAAATGATTGATTCTAGGACTAAGGCAGGAAATAGACAAGATGATCCTGGAGCATTTTGTAGTGTCGAACAGCAAGGAGGTGTGGAGGGAAAAACCCTACATTGATGGAAGCAAGCATATCAAAGGGACACAGGTACCAACTGAAAGAGCTCCCAGTGGCCAAAGCTAGAACGATCTGAACAAGTTGAGCCACAGATAAAATAGTATTAGATTATACCTCAAAGTATATAGTAAACATCTCTGAGAACATACTGGTATAATGAATAAATAATGAAAAAATTAATAAGGGAGAAGAGATGAATCTCCCATGCAGAAGAATTCCAAATAATTTATGTACATACTTGGCCCTAAAGGAGAGGATGTATAAACCCCACTCCTTAGGTGTGAGCTGTGCACAGTGACTTCCTTCTAAAGAGCACAGTAAGGAAAGGGGGCAGGGAGAGTAACTTGAACCTGAGAAACACCACTGTGGCCACTTGATCAAGGCCAATAGCCACAGTTAAATCGTGTTGATAGTATGTCCCCTAATATGAGGAAATGGGGAATGATGTGATGAGAATGACACATTACCTCTGTGGTCCTCTTCCCAATAATCGACAACCCCAATCTAATCAGGGGACCGAATTGCTGGGCATCATTCAAAATTCCTGACCAGTACTCCTCAGTAGCTATCAGGGTCATCATTAACAAGGTCAGTCTGAGAAATTGCCCAGCCAAGTGAAGCCTGAGAGATAAGAGAATAAAGGAATATGTGTTCTGGATAGGATCATGGACCAGGAAAAGGACATTAGGTAAAAAAAAAGAAATCTACAGGGCACCTGGGTGGCTCAGTGGGTTAATCCTCTGCCTTTGGCTCAGGTCATGATCCCAGGGTCCTGGGATTGAGGCCCGCATCGGGCTCTCTGCTCAGCAGGGAGCCTGCTTCCCCCTCTCTCTCTGCCTGGCTCTCTGCCTATGTGATTCTCTCTCTCTGTGTCAAATAAATAAATAAAATCTTTAAAAAAAATTAAAAAAGAAGAAATCTAAGCAACCTTGACTTGAGTTAACAATGATAATGTATTGATATTGGTTCATTAATCATAACAAAGGTATCTTACTAATATAAAATATTAATAGCAGAAATTGTAGAGGGGAACTCTGTACTAGTTTCTCAATTTTTCTAAGTCTAGAGTTGTTCTAAAAAACAAAGTCTATTAAAAACATAATTATCCGGGGTGCCTGGTGGTTCAGTTGGTTAGATGTCTATGCTCAGGTCTTGATCTCAGGGTGGTGAGTTCAAGTCCCACGTTGGGCTCCATGCTGGGTGTAGAGCCTACTATAAAAAAAATTATCTAGTAGTTAGTTAGCTGGGCGGGGGATGCATGGATGAAACAAGTTGGGCCATGAGTTCATCACTGTGGGAGCTGGGCAGGAGGTGGGCCTCCGCCTGCCCTGGGGAGGGACTGTCTTCTGAAGCCCCACATGTGGTCATCATTGTGTGTGGCCAGTCCAGAGAGTGGCTCCCTTGCCATGCCCTCTGTTCCTCAGTGACAGTATCTCCAGGGTCGTCCTCACATGCCTGTCACCCCCTGTTGCGGTGGGCTCTTCATGCTCCTGCCCCATGGGACTGGGAGTCTTCCCAGCACAGTACTGGGTGGGAGCCCCAGCCCCCCAGCACAGCTCTCCCTGGAGGCTGCTGGAATTTTTCCAAACTCTTAGGAAGCTTTTCCTTTTTTCAGCAAAATTCTGCCTCCTGCAACTTTTAACTAGCTCTTCCCCTAAACTCCCCTGCCCCTGTTTTGTGGAACAAAACAGAAGAAATCAGCTTCCTAGCCACATGATGGCCCCTTAGATATTTAAATAATGCCCATTTTGTTTTTCACCCAGCATTTCTGGAGCCAGGCACAGTGCCAAAACCCCGTGAATTATTTTCTCCTTTGGTCAAAACTTCCTACGTTCCTTTCAACAGCCCCCAGGTGGTGTGGATTCCAGCCCACTCACCGCTCACGTTTCCTCCAGGGTGGCTAGTGCTTCCGGGTAAGATGCTCAGCACTGATCGCTGGGCTCCTGACACCCTGAGCACAGCCTCACCCACCTCCAGGCAGAGCAGCTGGGGATGCCGGGCACCCAGAGCTGAATGAGGGCCCCAGAGGGCGGAAAGGCATCGCCTAGTTGGACAGATGGTGGCAGCCCCGGAGGCGGTGCAGTACGGAGAGGGAACTGCAAGGTCCCTCTTGTCAGGGACCTGCTGTGCTGGAATAGGGACCTTGGCCTTGATTCTCTAGGAAGGCCTAGAAGGCTTTGGGTGGGGGCTCTGAGCAAATACCCAGCTGCCTCGTTCATCACACAGGGCCCAGCCCAGAGAAGGCCCCCCAACCCCCAAGTGTTAGCATGACTCTTGATGAAAATGCCTTGAATGTCTCTGTTCTCCTTGCTTTCAAGGCCCTGGCTTCATTTGTAGGAGAGTGAATGGTGACAGCTGTGCTTGTATTCACTTGAGAGATCCCATTTGCCTTATATGGGCAGCAGGAGTGTGAAGCTGGGTCAGTCTTTGAAACAGCAGAGGTTGGGGCCTGGAGTAGAGCCTCTGTTTTGAGCCAGGAGGTCGTAGGGGAACCAGCTTCTCCAGGGAACAGGCAGACCAAGGTCTCAGATGGGGCAAGCCGGAGCCATGGGCAGGGCAGAAGGGATATGACAGATTGGGGTCAAGATCAGGGGGTCCTCATCTTCATTTTGCTTCTAATTAGACAGCTGTGTGGCCTCAAAAGAAAATGTGGAAATTCACCTGGGTGAGCTGCTAACTCGAATGTTCTGTGACCCCATCTGAGTATTCATTCAGCAGATAGCTCTTGAGCATCTACTGTGCTCCAGCCCTGGCCTAAGATGCCAGTGTGGGCAAGGAAACTGACATCCTTCTTGTCCTCATGGGGCTTATGATCTAGTCTGGGGACAGACAATAGAAAGATGAATTAGCAAACATGTAACAGTGCAAATTGCTGTTAGGAATGGAAGAGAAAGCTGGGCTGTGGGGCAGGGTTCTTTTTTTTTTTTTTTTTTTTTTAAGATTTTGTTTATTTGACAGACAGAGATCACAAGTAGGCAGAGAGGCAGACAGAGAGGAAGGGAAGCAGGCTCCCTGCTGAGCGGAGAGCCCGATATGGGGCTCGATCCCAGGACCCTGGAATCATGACCCGAGGCGAAGGCAGAGGCTTTAACCCACTGAGCCACCCAGGCGGGGCAGGGTTCTTAAATGGAGCAATCAAGGAAGCCGGCTCTGAGGAAGTGATGTTTTAAGTTGAGACCTGAGTGGTGAAAAGAACAAGCTGGGGGTGACCTGGGGGAAGAATGTTGCAGACTGAGGAAGAGTAGGCTCAAAGCCTGAGGCCAGAAGGTGCTTGGCATGTCAAGGGCACTGGGAGGGAGGGCAGCATGGCTGGAACAGAGTAAACGAGGCATGGCGGCATGAGGCCGGGCTGGAGAGTCAGGCAAGGGTGGGCTAGCTCAGACCTGGGGGCCACAATGAGGAGTTTTCGTTTGTCCTCCGTGCTGTTCGAAGGTATTTCAAGGGCATAGTCAGCAAAGGGCCGTGACTGGCTGGTGTGTGTGGGATGGGTTGCAGGTGGATGAGGGTACCCGCCGGCAGTGCTGCTCTCAATGGGGCCCTGAACAGATTGCTGCTTTCAAATCCTGCCTCCACCTCTTTCCGTCCTTGGACCTCTTTGTGCCTCAGTTTCCTCAGAGTACAATGGTTGAAAGCATGGACTCTGAAGACAGAACCCCTGGGCTCAAATCCTAGCTTTATTGCTTCCGTGCTGTGTGATGTTGGGCAGAGTTCTCAGCCTCAGCAGCATCCTCTGTAAAATGAGGATAATAGTAAGACCCACCTCATGGGGGTTTGGGATGGTGTCAAATAACTCAGTACCCACGGCGGGGCCAAGCGGGCCTGGGGTGAGCAAATGCCCAAATATTGCTGTCGTATCGTTGTCATCCTCACGGCCGGGGAGCCAGAGGAGCGACTGAGCTGTAGAGAAGGGTCCAGTGACCCCCAAAGTCTGTGAGGGACCAAGAAGGTTACTGAGGTTCAGTGGGGACACGTGAGCAAAAACCTGCAGAAAGGATGAGGGATGGTGTGGTACCTGCAGAAGGGGGAATTAGGAAAGGAGGACTCGCCGTTGGAATTCTGTTACTGTCTTGAGGAAGAGAAAAATGGGTTTGCTTGCCATAAGAGTCGAGATTGGACCTGGGGAAAACCTTGTGAAATACTGTCCCCCTGAGGGACTTCCGGAGTGTGACTCTTGGAAAGCCTGTGTGGAGGTAGGACACAGACAGTGTGCTTTCCTTACAGGCTCTTCTAACTCCAGCAGCCGGATGGAATTTTGACACTTTGATGTCAAAAGTGTAGCATGGGGACGCCTGGGTGGCTCAGTTGGTTAAGCAGCTGCCTTCGGCTCAGGTCATGATCCCAGTGTCCTGGGATCGAGTCCCACATCGGGCTCCTTGCTCGTCAGGGAGCCTGCTTCTCCCTCTGCCTCTGCCTGCCATTCTGTCTGCCTGTGCTCGCTCTCTCTCTCTCTCTGACAAATAAATAAATAAAATCTTTAAAAAAAAAAAAAAAAAGGTGTAGCATGAAGGAGCCCTGGACTTCTCCCCATCCCCTGCAGAATGACCCCCAGATGGACTCACCTTCTGCCTGGGGCCTCATTTTCCCCATCTTCCCATCTAGATAATCTGCTGGTAGAAGTGGACAGTCTCGGGCGCTTGGGTGGCTCACTGGGTTAAGCCTCTGCCTTTGGCTCAGGTCATGATCTCTGGGTCCTGGGATCAGGCCCTGCATCAGGCTCTCTGCTCAGCAGGGAGCCTGCTTCCCCCTCTCTCTCTGCCTGCCTCTCTGTCTACTTGTGATCTCTCTCTCTCTCTCTGTGTCAAATAAATAAATAAAATCTTAAAAAAAAAAGTGTACAGTCTCTGAGATGAAACCTTCTGGAACTTTCTGTTCCCCAGGGTCTTCAGCAGATACTCCTCCCGGAGAACCAGCTTGACATTCGGCCCTTGATCCTGGTGAGCCTGGGAGCTGAGGTGATACGGGTGACGAAAGAAAAATTTTGTGAACTGATGGACAGCAAGGTAACAGAGAAGTTGTCCAGGCTCAAGGTCAACTACCCCAGGTCAGTGCTGGAAATGTGCCCACATCCCACCAGACCAAATAAAAAAATTTTCACCTATTGTTTTAGTAAAAGGAAGAAAAAACGTGCTAATACCTAATGCTGAAAAGGGGGAATGAAACCAGTAGTTGTTGGTACCCCTTAAATTATCTCAATCCTTTTGATAATAGATTTAGTATTATGTTGCAAGGGCTATGCCCTCTGAAGTAAAGGTCTACCTGTGAATTTATCTAATTATGGGAAAAGCTACATGTACTGAGATGTTCATAGCAGCCATATTCTTGATAGAAAAACCACTATCACCACCACCCAAACGTATCACACTAAGGGGATAGTTTAGAAATTGTGGTGCATTTCTTTGATAGAACATAATTGCTATATTAAAAAAATTGTAAGTTTAATGGTTCTATAGGAGGAGGGTAAAATAGGTGATATAATGATTCATGAAAAGGACAGGATGCAAAACTGTATATATACTATGGCTATGCATTTGTAAAACACAAGAGAAAAACCTAGAAGGAAATAAGTAAAAGTGTTGACAAACTGTGATGTTGCCAAATTTGTAAGAGTTATTCTGTCTGGAAGGTAAAACTACAAGATATTTCCTGGTTGTCATTATATATTCCTCTCATATTTAATTGTTTTTGTAGTGTGTATGCATTGCTTTTATAATGAGGGAAGAAAAGATACTTTTTTTAATTTAAATTTTACTTAGTTAACATACAGTGCAATATCGGTTTCTGGAGTAGAATTCAGTGATTCATCACAAGTGCCCTTAATACCCATCACCCATGTAACCCATCCCCCACCCACCTCCCTCTATCAATCCTCAGTTCTCTACCTTAAGATTTCTTATGGTTTCTTTCTCTCTCCTTCCCCCCCCTTCCCATATGTTTATCTGTTTTCTTTCCTAAATTCCACATATGAGTGAGATCATGTGGTATTTGTCTTTCTCTCACTGACTTATCTCACTCAGCGTCATACTCTCTAGCTCCATCCATGTTGTTGCAAAAGGCAAGATTTCATTCTCTTTGCTGGCTGAGTAATATTCCATTATGTATCTGTCACATCTTCTTTATTCATTCATCAGTCGATGGTCATTTGGGCTCTCTCCACAGTTTGGCGAAAAGAAATAGTTATGAAAAGTTGTTGTTGGGAGCACCTGGATGGCTCAGTAGGTTGAGTGTCGACTCTTGATTTCAGCTCAGGTCATGATCTCAGGGTTGTGAGATCAAGCCCTATGTTGGTTTCCATGCTGGGTGTGGAGCCTGCTTAAGATTCTCTCTCCTTCTCCTTCTGTCCCTCCCCAAATCCCTAAAGAAAAACTTTTTGTCAGGATAGTGGCATTCCAAGTGGGCTTTTTTCATTTCCAAATGTTTGGTAATGATGATATTCTTTTATAATTTAAAAAATCTATCTTGAAAGATTTGATAAAAAAATTTATTTTTACTTTTCCCTAGTTTCCAAATCTTCCAAGGTGAATATGTCTATAAGGTGAAAAAAACTTCATTTTTTAATGTAAAAGTTAACTGGACCAGTGGTTGCAAAACTATTTTGATCTCGCACTGTTATTACTAAAAGTGTTTACATATATACCCCTTAGAATATATGTAAATAGGAATAACATGTTAATTTATTATTATTATTACGTACATATATTGCTGTAGTAATATATATGTTATGGACATACCAAAATTCTGTAGAAGAATAAGACAAAGAGGAATATAAATGAATTCCTATATTTTTTTTCACACACTCCAGTGGATCTTGTTCACCTCCCTAGATGACATGATGCTGCCATCCCCACTGGGACCTCCAGCCTAGACCACTGGGCCCCCTGCCTCCACCTCCTCCCCACTAGATCCTTTCAGCATTTCTGTGCTCTTGCTAAAACCTAGATCTGGCTATGTTAAACTCCTGCCTAAAACTTGGGTTGCTCAGTCGGTTAAGTGTCTGCCTTCGGCTCAGGTCATAATCTCAGGGTCCTGGGGTTGAGCCCCAAGGCCCCCCAACCCTGGGCCCCTTGCTCAGTGGGGAGTCTGCTTCTCCCTCTCCCTCTGCCCTTCCCTGCTGCTTGTGCTCTCTCTCTCTCTCTCAAATCAATAAATAAAATCTTTTTTTTAAAAAAGGGATTTTAGGAGCCTTAGATGATGGGTGTCAGTTAATGGCTGTTGAACTTGAAATTCAGAAGAGGTTTCCGTGGCCTTGACAGTGGCAGACACTTGAGCCCCTGGCATCTGTGCCGCGCGGTCAGCGCTTCGCTGCAATGATCCGCAATGCTGACGGAGAGAATTCTGGCTTATTCATTCACCGTTGAACTCATGCTTCCTAGACTGCTAAAGCAGGCACAAAACAGATCCATTATCTAGCTCAAATCCTCCATGTTTTAATTGAGGACTGCGAAGCCCAGGAAAGAGGGTATGACATCCTGAAGATCACAAGGTTGGTGGCGGTGACACCTGTCCTGTGAATGCCAGGGGCTGGATAACCTGATGTCTCTCCCACTGCAAAGCACAGGGGCTGAGTTCCCAGGAGAGAAGGGAAATCTCTGAGGGCCAAAATGGAGGAGAGCCTAAAAGCCAACACACAGAGTGTGATCTAGTGTGGGTTTGCTGGGTGGGGGTGGGCCGGGCCGGGGGTTAGGGCCATCTTGGGCTGAAGTTTTTACAGCCTGTGGGGACAGATGAAACTTTGAGTTCACGTGAGGCAGAGATTGGAACGGAAACCCCTGCACCAAGCTGAGGCCCTTAGAAGAGTGACCCCGTTTTGTGAAAAAATTAACTAGAAATCAGTATGGCCATCAGCATAGGAGGTGACATGGAATCTTGTCTGTCTTAGCTTGGACTCTGAGTCCCCCCCCACCCTAGAAGCCCCCCTAAGAATCTGTAATCACACGCTTGTCCCCTCCTAGGTTTTGGTGAGTCTTGTAGCATCTTTAAACCTCAGTGTCCATGTTTGTGAAATGGGTAGTTGTAAGGATTAAATGGGTTAACAAGTAAGGTGCTGGGCACTTTAGTGCTAAGTCAGAGTTAGATATAGTCTCTCTCTCTCTCTCTCTTTTATGGAAGAAATAGGGATTTAGAGGAATTTTCTTTTTTTAAAGATTTTATTTATTTATTTGACAGGGAGAGATCACAAGCAGGCAGAGAGAGAGGAGGAAGCAGGCTCCCCTCGGAGCAGAGAGCCCGATACGGGGCTCGATCCCAGAACCCTGGGATCATGACCCGGGCTGAAGGTAGAGGCTTTAACCCCCTGAGCCACCCAGGCACCCCGGGAGTTAGAGGAATTTTCTAAGTGGAGGCTATCCAGTAGTGTGCTGGTGAATATTTAATAACCAGCTCTCTCGGAGGGGGGTGGGAGGGAAGCCTGATTTGAAGGGTATCCTGATTAACGTGGTGTACACATTCCCACCGTGGCCAGTTTCGACCTACCAACCTGATGTCACTGAATAGGGGGTAGAGGAGGGTTCACATAATCACCACTGAGCCCAGAGGAGCTAACTTCGGCATGCCACTGGGACCAACGGGACTAGCCAGGAGCCTGTTCTGACATCCGGGTTTTTTATTAAGTCGATCTCTCTGGATCGAAGTTGACCCTGCCCTCGTCAATATAATGTTGCCAGAAGAGTATTCTAATTTGTTAGTGATTTATTAGTCTTGCTTCCTTAGGTGAGAGTGTAGGCAAGTCAGGGGAAATGGAGCATGCCTTCCCTTGCTATGGTCTCAGGAGGAAATAAGCAAATGAGTGTTGAGCCCACTCCCCCTCCCTCACTTTCCCCAACCCTCCCATGCTCATGCTCGTTGTGGGGGCGGGAAGTAAAGCCGGGGCACCAAGACCAGTCCAAAGCAGCCACCAATCTACTTTCTGCCTTCATAGATTTGCCTGTTCAGGATGTTTTGTATAGATGGAATCATATAATGTGTGGTCTTTTGCAACTGGCTTCTTAGCATAGTGTTTTTAAGTTTTATCCATGTACTTCATTTTTTTTAAGATTTTATTTAAGAGAGGAGGAGGAAGGAAGGGAGAAAGAGAAAATTAAGCAGACTCCATAGTGAGTGCAGAGCCCAACATGGAACTCTGTCTCACAACCCTGAGATCGTGACCTGAGCTGAAACCAAGAGTCGACGATTAGCCAACTGAGCCACCCAGGCGCCCCAACTTCATTCCTATAATGTATATATCACACTTTATCCATTTGTCAGTGGGTGGATGTTTGGGTTGTTTCCACTTTTTGGCTATGATGAATAATGCTGCTATGAACATTCTCGTGCGAGGCTTTGTATGGACATAGGTTTCCATTTCTCTAGGGCATATACCTAGGAGTAAAATTGCTAGGTTGTAAATTAACCCTGTTTAACCTTTTGAGGAACTGCCGGACTCTTATCCAAAGTGAATGTACCAGTTTGCTTTCACATCAGCAGTGTACCAAAACCCGTATTTTAATATCTCCACCTCCTAACATATTTTTTAAAAGATTTTATTTATTTGTCAGAGAGAGAGAGAGCGAGATAGCGAGCGCACAAGCAGGGGGAGTGGCAGGCAGAAAGAGAAGCAGGCTCCCGAATGAGCAAGGAGCCTGATGCAGGACTTGATCCCAGAACCCTGGGGTCATGACCTGAGCTGAAGGCAGACGCTTCACTGACTGAGCCACCCAGGCACCCCTCATAACACAATTTTATCTGTGTTTTTAATTACAGCCATCCTAGTGGGCATCTCATTGTGGCTTTGCTTTATATTTCCTTGATGGATAAATGGTTACCTATATAATTTAACTTCTTGGTAGCCACGTTATAAGAAGCAAAAAGAAATGAGTGAAATTGATTTTTAAAATACATTTTATTGAATTCAGTGTTTCTCAAATATTATCATTTCAACATGTAATCACCATAAACATTATTTTTTTTTACTTTATTTATTTGACAGACATCACAAGTAGACAGAGAGGCAGGCAGAGGGAGAGGGGGAAGCAGGCTCCCCGCTGAGCAGAGAGCCCCATGTGGGACTCGATCCCAGGACCCTGAGACCATGACCCGAGCTGAAGGCAGAGGTTTAATCCACTGAGCCACCCAGGTGTCCCCACCATAAACATTACTAATGAGAGTCTCTCCATTTGTTTTTGCTCTAATTCTTTGAAATCTAGTATGTATTTTAAACTCACAACACATCTCTAATTCAGACTGACCCCACCACAGGTACTCAGTGGCCACATGTGACTCATGGCCACTACACGGAACAGTGCAGTTCTAGGGGAAGAAAGTGGGGAAAGGGAGAGGAGGCAGAAGAGTCTGGGAAGAGGACCCTAGGTGGGACAGAACACACTGTGTTTAGGAATTGGAAGAGTGACAGGAGACACGGCTGGTGGGGCAGGGGGACAGGAGGAGCCGGTGTGGGAAACTCAGCATCTGTGCCTCACCTTTAGTGATGAAGATTTGTGCCGGAAGTTCCTTCAGGAGAACAGCTGGAATATCTTTCGGAAGGACCTACTGCGGCTGCTGGTGAAGCCTCGCCAGCGTCCGCCGTTCACCCCAATCCGGCCTAAGAAGAAAGGGAGCTGCAGCCCCAAGTCTCTGATTCTGGATTTGTGTAGCCTCAACAAGGAGACTAAACCTTGTCATTCCATTTTTATGGCATCCCGGAAATACCTGCCCCCATTGAGGATCGTCCAAGCCATCACAACACCCCGATATAAAATCCAGGAACTCCTGCCTCAGTATAAGAATGCAGGAGTCCTTGTTTAGACTAATAAAAGATGTTGGGTTGGTCATCCTGCTTCCTGAGTGACCACCATGGGAGTTCTGGGGCTTGGAGTCGGGCCTCCCGGAGGCCATGGGTCTGGAGAGATGTTTGGGGGTGGCAGCTGGGGCACTCTCTCCCTTGATACTTGCTGGGCTTGAGTGAGTGGACGGTCAGGAGGCTGGGTGTGGTCTCAGGGTAGGAGGGTCTTAGCTGGTGAGATGGATGGGAGGTACAGAGGGGCTCAGATCAAAGTGAGCAAGACTGGGGTTACAAACTCAACTGCCTTCTGGAGGCCACGCAGATCATCTGAAGGGTTGCATCAGAAGGACTGGGCAGGCAGCAGGCGGTGGTGGGGACTGGACGCACACTGGCACTGGGAGCAGTTGACTTGCATCCTCGTTCAACGCCATGCCAGGAAATAATGCAGGCCCGGTACTGCCAGTCTTCAGATTTTTCAAGAGAACCAAGAAACCCAATATTTTTGATGATTCCTACTGGTTTTCAAATGTGAGCAACTAATTCAAATTATTTTTTAAATACTGTGTTAGGCAAACAGAACATAGACGTGGGCTGTGTTGGGTGTCCAGGCTGCCGGTTTGCCCGTGTTCATCAAGCCTGTCTGACTGGGCGTTGCCAGAGACTAGAGGAGGCCTGATGGGGGGGTGGGGAAGGGTGGTATAAGGAGCCAGAGAGACAGATGGGCAGAGCGACAGGAGCAGGCATCCTGGGTACCAAGACGGGGCGCCAGCTGCCCAAGAGAGAAGAGGCGGGCCAGAGATGAGGAGGAGGTAGGTTGGACTGATGAGGGCTCCTCGGCCCTTCTGGGGGGTCCTGAATATGTGGCTGCCCATCAGTGACCTGACCCGACTCTCTTTGTCGGTAGCACTGGGCCAAATCACCTCTCTCCCTTGGAAAGTTCCACAGTTTAGCTTTGAGAGCACTGGGGGGCCTGGAAGAGGCCACAGCAGTACTTGAGCCTGGCCCGGCTCATGAGCTGCCAGGAAAGCCTTCCTCCACCCATAGCTCCCCAACCCACACATTCGCCTACCCTACCTGGCAAGGAGCGAGTTATAAGGAACACCTGAGTGCTGAGCTGGGCCTCCGGAGCTCTGGAGGGCCTGGCTCTGTTTCTAGGTCACTGGACCCCCTTGAATCCTGTACCTGCTCCCGTTTCCCCAGTGGCAAAGTGAGCAACCTGGACAAGATCAATGGTCTTCATGAGGTGAGTACAGTTTGAAAAGCACATTCAATGTTATAGTTGTTTATTGAATTTATTTATTTATTTTTTAAAGATTTACTTATTTTTGAGAGAGAGCATGAGCCTGTGCAGGGAGAGGGGCATAGGGAGAGGGAGAAGCAGACTCCCCGCTGAGCAGGGAGCTGGACTCAGGCCTCTATCCCAGGACTCTGAGATCGTGACCTGAGCTGAAGCCAAGAGTCGGCCACTTAACCGACTTCGCCACCCCAGTGCCCCTGTTTGTTGAATTTAAAAGAAAACTTTTTATGTTGCACAGCAAAAAAGGAGAGGTATGGAATTTTTCTACCAGAAGATGTTGTGAACATAAAAGAGTAGAGAAGTAGAAGTCTTAATCATCTCTGACTTCTCTGATAGCTCCAGATGGCCAAGGAGTCTGGGATGTCTGCAGCAGATATGAAAGGGCTGTCTGTGACCTACAGGAATGATGTGGCACTGTTTAGGGACTAGGTAAATTGGGGTGTCTGATCATATTCAGGGATCTTTCTGGATTTAGGGCTGTGGCTCCAAGATGATGGTATGGACAATCTTGTTCATTCATTTGAAATTTATTTACTTTTGTTTATGCTTGCTTCATAGCAGATCCGAAGGAGGATAAGTGGCAGTTTCTGTTCCCTCTTATTCTCTAGGCCAGGTGTCGGCAAACTCTATGTAAAGCACCAAATAATAAATAGTTCAGGTTTTTCAGGCCATACCATTTCTGTTGTAACTATTCAACTCTGTTGGGTGAAAGCAGCTTTACTGTTCCAATAAAGCTTTATTTACAAAAAGAGGTGGTCAGCCAGATTTGGCCTTTGGGCTCTCTTTGCTGACTCGTACTCTAGGTGGTGAGGAGCCCTTGAAAAATTCTTGAGCAGATGTGACATGACTAGAGAAGGGGTGAGAAGCTTTTTATTGAGTGCTTATTTTGTGACCGCCATCTTGCCAATCATTTGACTACAGAGGCTGATGACCTTTGGGTTAAGATCCCAGCTCTGCCTCATAATGGCTGTTGAGGATTAAAAGAGATGGTACATGAACTGGAAAAAAGGTTTAACAACAAAAAAAAGAGGTGCTACATGTATAGCAAGATGTAGGATTTTATTCACCCTGACCCCTGGGTCCTGCATCCTGGGAAGTGAGAGAAGAAACTTCCAGAACAGGAGGTAGGACATGTTTTTGAGGGGTTGGTGGGTGAGGAAGTAACTAGAAGGGCAGCCCTGGAGTGAGGGCAACTGTGGGGAGAGAGACCATGGCGGCTGGGTTTTGGGAGTCTTGGGGGGAGCAGAGGAAGAACAGAGGTTTTTCTGAAGCCACCATTTAGCAGAGAGAAGAATTTGAGAATGAGAAATGTAAAAAGGTTTTCAAAGATATTTTCTGTGCCTTGAGAATATGTTTTCCTTTGGTATTTTCTTGAAGAAACCAAGGAAACATTTGAATAGCTCTTAATTACGGTTTTAGGCAGTGCTGCTGTTTCTTTGAAGTCAGTAACCAAGCAGAGAATGGGCCCCAGGTACATCCGGGTTGCACCTGTGAAGTCGTTGGTCCACAGGGAGTGCTCGGTACTCGTGAGATGTTATTAGCACCTTTTTGACTGAGCTCAGTTTGGCTGTCCACAGAGTCTCCCTCCCCTTCAGTGGAATAGGAAACCGAGGCTTTGGAAGGCTAAGTCTTCCTGATCAGTGCTGAAGGCCATCCTGGGTGAAGCAGGGAAGGCGCTCCTTGAAAAGCAGCACAGTGTTAGCTTTCCGTCCTCCTTACTGCCCACCCGGGCACAGATCCAAGGGTCAGGAAGCCCATGGGTCCTGAAAACATTTCCCGGCATTATCCTCATTTGCCAGACAAGGAGCCTGAGGCCTAGAGTAGCAAAGTCCTCGACCCCGCTCACTCATCTACTGGGCGGCGGTGGCAGGAAATGCATGTGCTTTCTCGGAAGCTGGTGGCCTCCGAGGCGGGCAGAGTGGCAGCGCATGCGTGATTCCACCGCATTACTCATTGACCCCAAACGAGCCACCTGTTTTCAGAATTCGGTACCCACAACCCTGGAACTGTGTTTGAGAGACTAGAACCGCCCTCTGGGATGATTTTCCATATGTAAATAAAGCATAGTCATACTTGGAGAGGCACACCAAGGACATGGGAGCCAAAAATATAGCCCCAGCACTAACAGCTTCTACTGTTTGGGGAAAATGGAAAAACCCATTTGAAAAATAAACACAGGAGGTATTGCCAGAGTTTTGTTATAGGAAGTGTTCAAGATCACATCCTGGGGTTGGAAACCATCATTCTATTTTCTGTCTCTGAATTTGACTACTTTAGATAATCTCCTCTAAGTGGAATCCGACAGTATTTGTCTTTTTGTGACTGCCTTATTTCCCTTAGCACCATGTCCTCAAGGTTCATTCATGTTGTAAGATTTCCTTCCCTTTTAAGGCTGAATACTAGTCATTGCATGCACACATACACCACATTTTGCATATCCATTTGTCTGTTGATGGAAATTGGGTTGCCTTCCCCTTTTGGCTTTTGTGAATAGTGCTGCTGTGAACAGGGGTGTGCAGACAGCTCTTTGAGAACTTGCTTTCAATTTTCTTGGACATGTATCCAGAAGTGGGATTGCTGCAATCACGTGGTAGTTCTAGTTTGGATTTTCTGAGAAACTGGCATCCTGGGCTGCATGGCAGTAGACCGTTTCACGGTCCCAGCAGCAGTGCACGAGGGCTCCGATTTCTGCACATCCTTGTCAACATTTGTTATTCTGGTTTTGGTTCCTAGCCATCCTCATGGGTGTGAGGTGGTATCTCACTGTGGTTTTGATTTGCATCTCCCTAGTGATTAATGAGATTGAACATTTTTCATGTGTTTTTTGGCCACTTGTCTATCATCTTTGGAAAAATATCTATTCAAGTCCTTTGTTCATTTTTTTTTTGTTGTCAGATATATTGGTATATTGTAGATATTAACCCCTTTTCAGATATATGATTTGTAAATATGTTCTCCATGCCATGGATTGGCTTTTCTCTGTTGATGATGTCCTAGTCTGTTTTGATAGGGATTTTATGAGGAGATATGGAACTATGTAAATATTCCCTTCCTTATCATACTTTTCATTCATTCATTCATATTAATATTGGACTCATAGTTTCTATTTTATTCAGTGTGTCAGAATCGGTTACTATCATTCTATATTTTGAAGCAATCCTTTTGACATGCTCTTATTCTCTGAGCACTTTATTTTCTGCCACAACAGGATATTCCCGGATGATCTTCTGCTTCCCCTGATGTCATCTTGGAATTAGCCATTTCTCCTAGGAACCTGGCTCCTTTTCGTAGAGAATGGCCCTGACTCTGGTGCTGATTAAGTCTGCAGCTTTGAAAGGCCCAGCCCCTGATGTGGAGTGCCATACCTCATCAGCCAGCCAGAGCAAACCCCTCCCTCACAGATGAGGAGACTGAGGCCCGAAGAGGAGCTGCTGGCCAGTATTCCTGTTAGTGACAGCTTAGACAAGGACACAGGCCTTTGACTCCGATGCAGTTCTCTTTCCCTGGTGATACATATTGCCAGCAATGAGGTGTGCTCCCAGTGGGGCCTGTCCCCTCTGGACTTCGCTTTCCTCTTCTGTCCACTGAGGGGTAGCTTTGCCCTAGAGGTCCACGACTGCTTGAGAGCTAACCTCTTCTCTCAGCTTTTTATGAGCCTTACCCCTCTGGACGCCTTTTTGGGTGAACCCATGTTAAATTGCAGAGGAGAGCTTCAGCTTTTAGCTCCAGCCCTGGTGGATTTGGGGCTTGCA